TATATCTAGAAGGCCACACTAGTTAGTTTACACTTATGTGTGACTCGGTTCCAGCAGGCTAGGTTTTCTCACAGAGTGCGTTGACATCTTTCAGTGATCTGCCCATGTCTTGGCTTCACCTACCGTGTGAAGGGCACCCTGGTTTCTCACACTGGCTGTAACTTTCAGTGCTTGAAGATCCAGGCAAGGATAAACCCTTGCTTACCATTAACATTTCTTTTTTGTGTCTTGTCAGAACTGGGGACTGAAGTCAGGGTCCTTGCACTGAGCTAGATTCCTAGTCCTTTTTTAAGTTTTATTTTTGTGACAGGGTCTTGCTAAGTTGCCGAATTGCCAGGCTGGACTCAAATTTGAGACCCTCCTGCCTCAGCCTCTCAGAGTGCTGGAATTTCAGGCCTATGCCACCACATTTGCCTCCATTAATGTTTCTTAAAAAACATTTCTCTCTGCTTTTGGCCCTATTGTCCTGCAGACCTCACACAATCATGTTAACATGTCTTTATAAGGAAAACTCACAAGGGCTCTGTCATCCACAAAAATAGATTGCATTTTTAGGAGCTGCTACGGAGCTCACAGAGGGAATTGGTGTTGACCATGTGGAAAACTCATTGTCAAAGGGAAGTCACGTCCAGAGTCAGGAAAGCAGGAGAAGCGCCAACCCAGGGAAGCAATTGCATCTGGGAATTTGAGCCCAAGCCTTCAAAGTGAAAACACATGGGCCCCACCCTTCCCGGAAGCAGGACAGGGTGCCCTTTGGCTGTTAGACCCTCCTGAGAGGCTCGGTCTCTCTCCCGTGAGCTGTGTGGTCACCCCGAGCCCAGGTTTGGTTTTAACTTGACTGCAAAGGGGATGTGAGGGCCTCTGAGGCTGCTGGTGGCCAGACAAGCCACTGAGTGAAGCGGGAGCCCATTTTTGTGTTGCTTTCTCAGCCAGGTCTAGGTGAATGGAGGAGTATTCTTTACAGAACCTAGGAGAGGTCAGAGTAAAGAAGAAAGTCCAAAGGGCCGTAAGCACAAAGCAGTTTTCAAGTTTTCCAGCCATTTGTCACCCTAGAGATAAGCAATCAGCTGCCCCGGGCAAGCCCACGATGCCGGAAGTCCTGTGGCCTGGGGTCTTGGCAAAGTCCTCTCCTCCTTCGTCCTTCAGGACCCGGCAGCTGTTAGTGCTAGTGCCGCGGGCCTCTCTTCCGTCTTTTAAGATGTCTGGACTTGGAAGCCCCTGGTCGCGGACCGCAAGGGTAGTTTAGTGACCAAGAGGCCTTTGTCACTTCTCAGTCACTGGCTGTGCTCCTCAGCTTTGCGTTGCTGTGACAGGACACCAAAGATGACAGCATTGAAGGAGGAAAGGCTCGTTCGGGCTCATGGCTCGGCGGTCCTGGTGTGTGGCCGGTGACCCTGCTGTCAGTGGACCTGCATAGGGCGGATTGCAGCAGGGGAGGCTGCTGCCTCACAGCACCTGGTAGGCAGAGATCAAGAAGGGACCAGGGTCGCAGTGTCCCCTTCAAGGTCATGCCCCAGTGACCCTGTGGGTACATTCAGCCTCCACACACCCGGCTGGGACCTGGCTCCCTTCACACATTATTTCCTGGGATTACCTGCAAAAAGCTGGAGTCCACTGTCCTCGGGGCGTGGGGTAGGTGAATAACAAAAGCTGTCTTTCCAGTCCTCAGACACCAAACCAGGAAGGCTAAGTTCCAAACTGACAACCGTCCTGCTTGTGTCAGACTTGCTCCAAGAGCTTATTCCGAGTACAGATCTTGGCTGAGCCTCCCAGATCCATCAAGTCAGTCCGCAGTAGGCTGCACTGTGCCATTGTTTTGTTCATTTGAGACAGGGTCTCACTCAGTTGTCCAGACTGCTGCTAAACTCATGACCCTCCTGCCTCAGCCTGCCAAGTAGCTTGGGTCACAGGTGTGTGCCGCCATGTCCAGAAGTCCAGCGTTGTACACACAGGAACCAGCTTCATTCTGAGGGAGGCGAGTGATAAGTAAGCCACTGGGGTTGGAGAATTGTGAGGGGAGGCGCCATATTTGGGCTGTGCAGGTCAGAATTCCCCCGGAGGCTTTCGAGTGACAGGAACCGTGCCTGCCGCCCCTGCCTGCTATCCCCGTCTTTCTGCCCCAATGGCACCTTTGACAGTATTGTTTCTTCCTTCTGCAGATGTGAGTGAAATAGATTCGAAGACCTGCCGGTCTAAATGTGACACTTAAGACAGTGTTCAGCCTTAGGGGTGTTGGCATAGAGAGAAGCTGACCCAGCCCTGTGCCACCTGTCCAGGAGGAAGCCGAGCACAGCTGGGACAGACCTGGACCCATCCTCCCGCTCTCACTTACCAGCTAGTCACCCTGACCTTACACCCGGCATGGGCCTCACTGTCCTGGACAGCCCTTGGGCCAGGAACAGGTGGGAGAGCATCCACCTCCTGGGGCTCTCCAGGGACAGCAGAGGTGGGGTACCCACCAGTATGGCCCGCAGAAAGCCCCTCAGGCCAACTTCTCAAAGCTTTGGGGGCTCAGAAATGACCCTGGGACCTGCAGCAATGCAGGCTGCGGCAGTTCACGGACCACAAGTGGAGTAACAAGGACCTAAAACGTTGCCCTTCTTAGGCTGGCTGTGACCCATCAGTGCAAACATCACCTTGGTTAAAAGACTGGCAGTGTTGGGGCTGGGGATTTAGCTCAGCGGCACAGCGCCTGCCTGGCAAGCGCAAGGTCGTGAGTTCATTCCCAGTACCGGAAAACAACAACAACAACAAAAAAAACAAAAACAAAAAGACTGACAGTGTCTTCTGCAGTCCTAGAAATGGAAGGAAAGCCCTACCCGTTGCTTAACTCTGATCGTGAAAATTAGGGTGTACGCAGCTCTCTGTCGCCAACTCTTACGTCCCTGGCTCCTGAGTTATTAATTAACTGCTCCCAGTGATATAAGAAGGACTGGGGAGAGGTCGGAGAAGGTAGTCTGCACTGTGGCATCCAGAGGAAGTCACAGTGAAGCTGCAGGTATGCACAGTTACGAGGGCTCCTGGAGTTTACGGGGGAGTGAACGGATTTTAAATGTAAAATAACATGTAATGCCTTTCCCCCACCCATGAAACCAGCTCTGCCTTCCATCAAACGCAGATTGCCTGGCCTGGCCCGGCCCGGTCTCTAAGCAAGTCTGGGGCGAGGCCTGAGAATCTGCATTTTAACAAACCCAGTGACACACACTGATCATCCTTACCTTAGTCCCAAACATGGTCTCTGAAAGTGACCAGCATGGACAGCAGTGTCTGTGGTCTAGGCTACCTCTCTCCCCTCAGAGCTGTGGCATCAGGACGTGGGTGGCTGAGCTGGGGTGGCTTTGGGGTGTGATCCGAGACCTGCCTCATCTCAGAGACCTGAGGCTCCTGAGAATCGGGAGAGAGATCTCTCACAGGGAGAACCATCCTGATGGCCCAGCTGCCTGCAGACTAGAGTCCCCACCCGGCAGTGTCCCTGAGGCTGGATACCTGTGGGCTGGTCACCTGGTGGGGATTTTTAAACTCAGAGCTTCCCTGGCAGGGGCCTAGGGGTATTGACATGTTCCTCCCGGATGTGCTGGTCTCTGGGGAGACCTTCAGGTGGAACTGTTAAAGAGGCCGTCATAAATATGGCTCAACACCCGGGAGAGATGTGGGCCGCAGCTGCAGATCTGGGGTCTTCCAGATGCAGGTGAAGCTGACTCTGTGGGACTAACAGGCCTTGTGAAAGGCAGCTGGTTAAAGCGAGAGACCCTGGTGGCGGGGCACACAGAGGAAGAGGCAGGTGGGGTGCTCACAGATGTGTGGAGGGACACGAGGGTATCACTGGGGAGGGCAGCGCCAGATGTCAGAGCATCTCAAAAACTGGGCCCAGGCCAGCCTTGGTGGCGCATGTCTGTGATCCCAGCACTCTGGGAGCCTGAGGCAGGAGTATCTTGAGTTCGAGCCCAGCTTAGTGACTTACTGAGATCCTGTCTTAATATAAAAAAAAAAAAAAAAAAAGACTGAGATATAGCTCAGTATAAAGGCCTTAACTGCAATCTCCAGGACTGAAAAAAAAAAAAAAAAAGAAAACCTGGGCCCAAATCTGATGAAGTCTGGGGACCCCTCAAAAGAGCTGGCTCAATAGAATGAATGAGACAAGCTGGCCTTTGTACCCTGAATTGAATAGTCTGGATTTTTTATTTTGCAGTCCTGGGGACTGAACTCAGGATCTTTGCATTGAGCAATATCTCAGCCCCTTTATACATTTTTTAAATTTTAGAGAGAGGGTCTCACTAAGTTGCTAAGTTGCCCCTGCTGGTGTCGAACTTGCGATCCTCCCGCCGCAGCCCCCAGAGTGCTGGGATTACAGGCGTGCGCCATCATACCCAGGTTGGAGTCAGCAGTCTCCTGACTTTTCTTCCTACTTTGTGCTATTTTGTTTTGCCTCAGTGATAAAGACTTTCCGGTTCCCACACCACACTGCGGAACACATAGGCGCATAAAGTCGTGGATGCTGTGTACATGTGCCTGGGCACAGTAGCCATCTGTGATCATATGTGATTGAGGACTGAGCTGGGGTCATTTTCTGTCCCCGTGGTCTAAGCCAAGCCCTGAAGAGAAGCAACACCGTGTGGTGTTCTTTTCCTCTGGATTCGACGCTGACCGGAGGCTCCTGGGACCTTGAGCCGCTGGCTTCACAGAATGGAAAGGGTTCTGACTGCTCTTTCTGAACCCTTTGGGAAGGAAAGACTCAGTCCTGAGGATGACTTGGGGTTTCATAGGTGGATGTTGTGTGTTTTAATTTGTGCTGTTTATTCCATCATCTGGATCTTTGAGAATCCCAGGTTGGTTCTGCTTTGTTAACTGCTTATGTTTCCTCCGATTGCTGGGGAGCAGCGGGAAGCCTGGTCTTCGGGAGCACAGGCACGAAGCCGGGCAGCCCCCAGCGCACGTGTGCTGGCTCAGAGCCACGGTGCGGGGGACACACGCTGACCACCGACCGGCCTCTGTCTTTGCAGTTTTGTGCGGAGCTGAACCAGCCGGTCCTGCCCAACATCCGCAAGTGGAAGGGTCCCCGGGGATGCTGGCGGTCCCTGGTCTCCGAGAAGCCCTCAAGTCAGCTTCAGAAGGTACCCTTGGCCGGCTGCACGGCCTCCCCTTTGCTTCCATTATGTTTCAGCACACTCCCTTAGCCCCCAGCCATGGGTGTTTTACGGTTTCCTGTGCTGGTGTCCTTGAGCAACTTTGTGTCTCCACCCAGTTTCTCAGTCTCTTCCCTTCCTTTCCAGTGCCCTGGTGCTCACTTCCTGTTGTGTTCAGGAATGGATGGTACCCGGACAGAAATGTGAGCTTAGGGTCCTGGGAGGAGGAATCTCATTCGAGGCCAAGAGAGCAAAGGAACATTCCTAACCTTTGTCCTTGAAATCCCTTTGCCACAGGCCAGGCATGGTGCCACATGCCTGTAATCCCAGCACATGGGAGGCTGAGGTAGGACAGTTGCCGCAAGTTCGGGCCCGCCTGGGCTACATAGTAAGTTCAAGGCCAGCCTAGACTACATGGAAAGACCCTGTCTCAAAAAAACAAAACAAACAAACAAATAACAAAAAAAAAGAAGAAAGAAGAAATACCTTTGCCACATTCCGTCCACTGCTTGCTGACTGGAAACTTCAGCGTCACCTGAATTCATAGCTGAAGTATTTGCATTCATACTCGAAACAGCACGTAGAGATCCTCTGTTGACATTTCCACCAGATCTTGATCCTAGATTTTTGTCATCATTGTTGCCCTGTGGTATGGGTGGATCTCTGTGTGCATACATTTTCACTCTTACATATTGTATTCAAGGCCAGGTTTAAATCTGCAGGCTTTTAGGGGGCTGGGGATTTAGCTCAGTGGCACAGTGCTTGCCTGGCAAGCACAAGTTTCTGAGTTCAATTCCCGGTACCGGAAAAAAAAAACAAAAAACAAAACAAAAAAACAAAAATCTGCAGGCTTTTAGCCTTTTTTTAAAAAAAGACTCTTGAGCTAGAGATGTGACTCAGTGGCAGAGCCCGGGCCTACTATGTACAAGGCTCTGGGTTCCATCCCCAGCATCATAAAAATAGAACTGGAAGTGGTGATGCAGGCCTGTAATCCCAGTACGTGGGAGGCTGAGGCAACAGAATCGCCTCATGTTCAAGTCCATCCTGGGCTACATAATGAATTCACGACCAGCCTGAGCTGTGCTGTCTTAACAAACAACCAAAGGATCATTACACAATTTGCCTAGAAATGCAGATTGTTATTATTCATCTGTAGTGGACCTAATATGCTTAGAAACACATATGAATTGCACTTACATGGTTGGTGTGTATAACTTGGGCTTCTAAACCATAAGTCATAAATGTATACTCGATTAAAAGTATCCAGCCATTTATTATTGACAGTAATAAGCCCATATTGATTGCTACTGACAATCTACTGGTTTTTAGCCCCTCCTTAAATCCCCCTCTGGTGCCTGGTGCCATGGCATGGGCTTGGTCCCCGCGGCAGGCAATGTGGCAGGTGTGTTCAGGGCAGGAATAAAGCTGAGCGTGGTGCTTTTAGGCCTATGACTGAGCCCAGGGCTGTCCCCATTCTGTCTCACAGAAATACCAACACTGCCTTGCTGTACTAGAAATAGCACTCGGGTGTGTGTGTGTGTGTGTGTGCATGCACACGCATGTACGGGACACTCAGAGTCATCCATTCAGCACACGTTCTCCATTCATCTAACAAATTGCTCGTGCAGGCCAACTCCACACCAGGTCCTGTGTGTTGTGCCAGGTGCGCCTTGGTGAGAAGACCAGCCCCTCCTCCAGGATCTGCACAGCCTGTCAGGGACAGGATAGGTCACCCCATTCCAGGAGGGGACCAAGACCATCGGAGAACAGTGTGCAGTCAAAGCAGGCTGTGTTTTTGCCACTTAAACCTCTGCGCCTCAGTGTCTTCCTCTGTAAGATGGAGGATGCACCCTTTCTTAGCTATAGGATTTAAGAAGACAGTGAACAAGCAGTACTGGTATGCTTCAGCACAGCGCAGGCCGAGTGGGACATGCTCGCCCGGAACTGAGCACCCTGTCCCCGTCACCTGCAGCTGCATCCAGGTCCAGGCAGTTGTCACCAAAGTACCATGGGCCGGTCTGGCCATGTCAGAATTTTAAATATGGACAGATGTGCTACTCAGCTTTTCTGTCCTTGGGACACAGACCCAATACCCACAGCCTAAAAGAAGAGCAGTTTAATCTAGCTCTGGTTCACAGGTTCAGAGGGTTCAGTCCATGGTCAGCTGGCTCCAAGCAGGAACACCATGGCAGAAGGGTGTGGTGGAGCCAAGCTGCTTAGTTCATGGTGGCCAGGAACAAAGCAAGGAAACAGGGTCAGAGACGAAGGGCCAGGGACTTTAGAGAGTACCCAGCGTCACACCTCCATGACGCCCGCCAGACATACCTAGAAGTGTGCTCTATAACTCTGCTAGTCATTTCTTAATCCATGAAGCTAACATACAAGATTAATAGTCACAACCAATCATCAAAAAGATGTGTTAAAACACTGCGAATCAAACAGAATCAGGAATATTCAGTCTGCATACTGCACAAGAAAGCACAAGCCCTGCTTCCCAGCCCTGGCCTCACATCCCTCTGTCTCCTGGTCCCTTCTCTGGCCCCGGAGCTACAGCCTAAAGAAGTTTGTGGAGAAGCAAGTGGAGACCTCGGAGACTTGGAAGAAGCAATTTGCCCCACAGCGCCCTCTGCCTGGGAGGTGGTGTTAGAGCAGAGCCTGTGCGCCTCTGCTGAGCCGGCTGCTCTTGCCCTTGACCAATGAGTTGGTAAAGGCACCCAGATGGGTCACAAACCAGTGACAGAAGGAGCCGTGTGCACAGAGTGGAGAGGGGATGACAGGAAAGGCCCTGGGGCCAGTGGGGACAAACAGAGCAGGCGTGACAGGTGGCTGTGAGAAGGAAGGTGGCACCGGGAGCCAGAACAGTTTTCAGGCAGAGGGTGCCCTGAGCCCTGTGCAAGGAAGGTGGCCCTGGCACCCTGCACGGGACACACACAAGGGAAAGGAGCAGGCGGAGCCGACTCAGCACTGCAGACCTCACGGTACCCAGGACACTGAGGTGTAGACAGCCCGGGTGGCTCTCGGCTCCCTGATGCAGGGGACAATGAGACCCTGGTCTGTGACTCCTGACCCAGTTCTCCTTAGTAGGGGGCACAGAAGCTTCGGCCTGAGCCAGCACTGGGGACTCCAGTACGGCTGCCCAGAAGGACACTTGGGCGGGGCCGTTCGTCTCCGGCAACATGGCGGAGCCGTGAGCAAGGCTGCCGGCCTGTGTGGCAGTGTGCAGACCTCCCTCACCCCCAAGACGTGTGTGACTCGTCCAGGCTGCAGACTGCAGAGAAGAAGCTGCTCTGTCCTGGAGTCCCAGCCAGGGGCAGAGATGAGCAGCTTGAGCGCAGCCTCTCGGGCTGCAAGGATGGCCGGTCCCCTCGAGACTGCTGTCAGCAACCTGGAATCCGTGCCCGCACGACCCTCAGGGCCTGTGACCCAGGCTGAAGCCTGTCCGCCTGCAGAGCCCTTGGTCAGTTCCTGAGCACCCGCCGGTGAGCTTCAGACTCCTTCACCCAGCAGCTGCAGACCGAGCAACCTCGAGGTGCCAGGCCCCACGCTTGTGACCAGCGGCTCATCTGCAAGTCACCCGCAACCCCTGAAGGCTCCTGAATGATTCTCATCAGGAGATGAGCGTGTGTGGCCCTTACAGCTGCAGGGCTGTCAGGAAGTCACTCAGCCTCTGAAAGCACCAGCGTCCCCACCTAGAGGGGGAGCACAAGCTGCTTGCCTTGTGGCATGGGATGATCCCCAAGATAACTCTGCACCCGGTCAAAGGGAAGAGCCTGGCTGTGTGGGGCGTTTTGGGGGATGATCTCAGGGAGTAGGAGCAACCCACACCTCCTCCCCCATGCTAGGTGCACCTTGCTCAACTCGCACCCAGCGCCCACTCTGTCTCCTTGCTGCAGGGCACTGGATACGCGGGATTCCTGTGGGACACAGCAGCTGGTGTGGAGCTGCGAGATGCTCCTGGGCAGGAGAACTCACCCAGCAATGGACACGGGAGACCCCTGGCGCCTATCCCGCACCTTGCCAAGTTCAAGGTACCTGCACCACAGGTTACCTGTGCGTCCTGCACCCTCTCAACAGGAAGAGTCTTTGTAGAACTGCAAATGAGAGAAGGCTTCTCTTGTTGCTTTGACTTTATTCCCAAAAGACTGGGTCAATACGTACTCCTGCAGCTGCTGGGGCAGGTGACCGTGTCCAGGGCAGGGACAAAGGAGATCTGGAGGGACTCCCAGCCCCAATAACTGTGACATGTGGGCAAGAGAGAGGAGAAGCCAAGTGCAGTGCTGCATGTCTGTAGTCCCAGCCAGTTAGGAGGCTGAGACAGGAGGGTTGCAAATTTGAGGTCAGTCTGGGCCATATAGTAAGACCCCAACCCCAGTGAGAGAGCAAGTGGGAGAGAGGAAAATCACTCTGGCCACCCCACACATATCAGAATGACCCAGGTTTTCTTAGAGTCACGGATGCCTCGACCCTATTACAGTTTCTGAGATAGAGCCCAGGACGGTCTGTCTTTCAAAGGCTCCCTCAGCAGCCCCTCACCTGCCTGGCACTGGTTAGCGAAATGTCTGGGAATGGTGGGGTTGGGGCAGCAGTCTGCTGGCAGAGCCCTCCGCCTCAAGGTTCCTCTCCCTTATTCCAGGGAGCAAGGGCCCCTGGAGGGGCTGTTGGGGTCTGGGGCAGACTCAGGGAGCTGAGGCAGCCCTGTCTCAGAGCAGCTGAGCAAGACCCTCCCATCAGGCGTCCCTCTGGCCCCGGAACACCCTGGGGCGCTAAGGAGAGCAGAGCGCTGGAGCCCACACAGTGAAGGGTGGCAGTCCGGCGAGGGAGCCCTCTCCTTTGGTGCTTGGCCAGCACGCCCCAGGCAGGCCGAGTGTCCCTTCGCACAGTGACCCCTTCTTGACCTGTACACCCTGCCCCAGCAGTTCCGAAGCCTGCGGGTCACCCCTGAGCCCAGGATGGTTATCTCTGGCAGGAAACAGGGCAGATCCTGTGTTGGGGACCACAAACCACAGCTCCCTTCACCCATGGCTGCCAGGCGATGGGGTGGGTGTGTGTGCTCACTGGGGTGTCCACTGTGGTACCCGCTGACACGCCTTGTGCCCCAGCCTGTGGTCTCCACCAGGCCGTCTGCACACTCACACTCAGGGACCTGCTGGGGAGGTGTGCCCAGGTCATCTTTAGAACCTCCTGACACCACACTGGCCCCCTTTTTATGTCAAGTGACTTTGGCCAAGTACAGCTACAACAGCTCCCAGACTAGCCAGTGTCACTACACAGCGGGCTGGCTTTTTAAGATGGGCGTAGTGGTGCATATCCGGAATCCTAGCACTCTGGGAAGCTGAAGCAGGAGGATTTCAGGTTTGAGTACAGCCCTGGGCAACTTAGCAATTTAGGGAGACCCTGTCTCAAAATAAAAAATAAAGAAAGGGCTGAGGATGCACCTCCGTGTTTAGGCCCTGGGTTCAATCCCCAGTACTGCCAACGGGAGAAAATATGCAAGCTGTTTATCAATTTTTTTTTTTTTTTTTTTTTTTTGGTCTTTTTGAAACAAGGTCTTGCTGTGCAGTTCAGGCTGGCTTTGAGCTCACTTTGTAGCCCAGGTTGGTCTTGAACTCACAACAATCCTCCTGCCTCGGCCTCCCGAGTGCTAGGATTATAGGCGTGCGCCACCACACCCAGCTCTTGAAGCTGGTTTTTTTGTTTTTCTTGAAGGTGTTTTTGATGAGAAAGTGCTGTGGTGTCACCCGAGGTGGCCCAGGACCTCTCAAGCAGTCCCCTAGCCAGGCACCTGGCCCTCTGCTCTAGGTCACATGCTGGGTCAGGGAGATGGTCTGGGACAGAGACAGGATGTGGTTGGGGGACTTATTTCACAGTGCCTGCCTAGCATGTGCAAGGCCGGTGTTCCACCCCCAGTGCTGCAAAAAGAAGAGGGAAAAAAGAGATGACAGGTGCAGTGCATCTGGCCCCGTGCTCCGGCCCAGCCTCAAGGTGGTTCCCCCGGCAGACGGGGCAGCAGTGGCAGAGCTGTGGGCCCAGGGGTGGCAAACTGGGGCCAGGTCTGCCAGACAAGCCCGACACCTCTGCTTCCTGGGGCCCGACCCTTCCTTTCTAGCGGTGTTTACTTTTGATTTCCCTGACAACCAAAGGCGACTAGCCAAACCCCAAGCAGCCAAGCTGGGCCTCAGGGCTAGCAGATAAGGTGTCTGCCTGGGTGTGGCCTGTGAGCGCCCCCTGCTGCCCAGCCGTGATTGAGTTAATCAGGACAAGGTGGGCTTCAAGGCACAGGAACCCGCAGGGGTGGGACGTTCATGGATTGGGACAGAGTGTCACTAACATCAGCTGTTAGAGACACCTCTTTCTCTAAGCAACCATATAGGGAAGAAAATAAATCAAACCTTGCCATGCTCAGCAGCTCTGGCCAGTTTTACAGGGGTTGGGGGAATCTGGTATAGCACGGGTCCTATTCATGCAGGCCTGGGCTCCGGGGATTGAAGCTGAGGCCCTCCCCTGTCTCCCGGGCAGTGCTGGCTGCATCCCCATTGTCCACCGTGTCCACAAAGCCGTCTCTGAGCGGTACATGGTGCATCCAAGAAGCGGCAGCCTGCGAGCCCCTCCCTGTTGCTCTGTCTCTTGCTGCCCAGGTGGGAAGTAACGAAGTGACCCTCGTGAACCTTCACCTGGCCGCCCTGAGCCTCCCGGCAACAGAGAATCCCGGCAAGAATCCCAGTGACGGCCACCGGCTGGCGAGCTTAACGCAGACCCTGCAGGGAACCCTGAAAGGTAGGGCAGGGTCCTTCTCTGAGGTCTGGCGGGCGGCTCGGGGTCCTGCATGCCACCTTGGGCCAGCAAGGCCAGCCATTCAAGCCATGGGGACAGGGGACAATAACACGCCTGCTTCTCACAGGGCCCGGCATGGTCCATCTCTGTCTCTTTGGACATTACATGTGGATTCCCTGGTGTTGGCTTCGTGCCTTGTCTGCCTCTTGTGAATGGAAAGAATTGGGGTAGGGGAAAAATATAAGTGATGAGGCTTCCCTGCGACAACTCCCGGTCCCACTCCATGGTGCTACCTTTAGATGCTCACGTGCTCTTGTGAAAGGCAGGTGTGGGTGGGGAAGGTGCGTTCCTATTAGCAACCAACTGAGTTTTCCTGCAGAGACACAGATCTTAATCTCAGCCCCCTGGTTGGCTGTGGAGCTCAAGCTACTAGCCCACTTCCAGCCCCCTCTGCTACGCAGTCGGGAGGACACGGAGAGCAGCACCAATATCTGGGGGCTCAGGGTATCCAAGCCACTTCTAAAACACCAGGAGAATTAGAACACTGGTTGGAGGCTGAGGCAGGAAAACCACAAGTTCCAGCCCAAGCTGAGCAACTTAGCAACCGAGGGAGACCCTGTTTGAAACTAAAAAATAAAGAAGGGCTGTGGATGTAGTTTAGTGTGAGGGGTCTGGGTTCAGTCTCTACAACAGCAAACAAAATAAAAATTAATCCCTCCAAAACACCCAATCAAACAATGGGCAAATGAGTGGAATAGACACTTCTCAAAGGAAGAAGTATAAATGGCCAATAAATATGTTTTAAAATGTCTGCCGGGCGTGGTGACACACGCCTGTAATCCCAGCACACAGAAGGCTGAGGCAGGAGGATCATCTCGAGTTCAAGGCCAGCCTGGGCTACAAAATGGGTTCAAGACCAGCCTGAACTGTATAATGAGACCCTGTCTCAAAAAAGACAAAAAAAAAAAAAATTCAGCATTTTTAGCTGTCAGGGAAATACAAATCAAAACTACACTGAGATTAAATCTCACCCAAGACAGAAAAGCTATCAGCAAGAATACAAAATAAAACGAGTTGGCGTGGAGGTGCACGCATGTGATCCCAGCACTCTAGGAGGCTGATGCAGGATTACAAATTCAAGCCTGGCCTGGGCAGTATAGCAACTTAGCAAGACCCTGGCTCAAAGTTAAACTTTAAAATATAAAGCTGGGGCCAGGTGCCGTGGTGCATGCCTATAACTCCAGCATTCAAGAGGCTAAGGCAGGAGGACTGCTTGAGTTTGAGGCCAACCTGGGTTACATAGTTCAAGGCCAACCTAAACTACATAATAAGACCCTGTCTCAAAACAAACACAAATAAAAATAAGTATTTATCTATTTTACCTTTCAGGTTCTTATTCTAGGGAAGTAATACGATGTTTACAAATGTGAGTCTGATTTAGTTCACTTATGAGTATGGTCTCTAGTTGCAACCATTTACTTACAAAAGCCTCTAGTTTACCTTTCTTTATAGCTGAGTAATATTCCATTATATAAAAACACCAACAGGGTAAAAAGAAAACCCACAAATTGGGAAAAATTTTTAGCCAACTGTCCCTCAGAGAAATGTAACGTTTTTATGAGCCTGCCTTTCCTTTGGATGACACTGGGCGGCAACGTTCAGCATAGTTTTTGTCACACCTCATAAAGACACTCATGAAAGAGCACCTCCAGAACTGCTTCAGAAACTGGCAAGAACCCTGGGATAAGTGAGTGTAGTGGGGGAGGTTCCTTAGGAGGATTCACAGCAAGGTATCTTTTAGTACAATAAATTTTAAAATTTAAACACATGCTGTGTGTTTGGAGTAGCCCTTGTATCTTCATGGTTCACCCACTCAGAACTCCCGTCCTTTCTGAGGTTGCATAATGAGTGTTCCACTGACCTTGTGGACCACATCTTGCTGTTTCCCCTGCTCATTTATCCGTGGCACCTGGATTGCTCCTGCTTGAGGCTGTTGTGAAGAGTGCTGCTAAATAAATGTTAGAGTCCTCTCACTGAAAAATAAATTAGTCCCTAAGATGCCCCATCCAGGAGTGGCTGTGTTCACCCACAATCTCTCCGTCACCTGTTATAATAGATGACTTGAGCCAGATGCAGTGGTGCACACCTATAGTCCCAGCTACTCTAGGAGGCTGAGGCAAGAGGATCATGAATTTGAACTCAGAGACCCTGTCTCAAACATAAAAAGGGCTGAGCATGTAGCCCAGTGGTAGAGCACCCCTGGGTTCCATCTCCAACATCATGAAAAACAAAACAAAACAAAACAAAAAAGCAGCAGTGATAGATTTTCACATGGGTAACGTTTTGCTTTTCACAGTCTGAATTCTTTCCTCCCTGGGATGCAGAAAGGAGAGCTCGCAGTCCCTCCAGGGCCTTAAGCCAGCCCCTCACCCTCCTTCCCCTGCTACCCAGGGAATGGCCAGGTTTTCACCAGAAACCTCTGCAGGTTACTTTGCTAAATTGCCAAGAGATTATTCACCGCAGCCTGGCATCCAGATAGGGCCAATGACCTGGGCTCTGTTTCCTCTGCCTGAAACTCACAGCCAATTAATTGTTAACCGTGACCCCAGGTTGGGGTGCAGGAAGTGCCAGCTCCTGCCCAGGCACGGCCAGGCGGAATCGATCAGCAGAGGAGACCACGCCTGCTTCCCACTGTGCCAACAGCAGCCATGTCCTTCACTGAGCGGCGGTGGGCTGCTGCGTCCTCAGTGGGGTTTTCTGCTTTCAGATCTGAGCAGGGCTTGAGGACAAGGCCTCCCTCCGTGAACTCCGGAGGCAGAGTCCCTAGCACCTGGCAGGGACCCACCACTGTCGGCAGCACTGATACTGCAGAAGGCTAAGGGGTCTCTCAGAGAAGGGTTCCCCCTCACTTCTGGGAACTGAGGGAACAAGTGACAGAGCTCACCCCACCCCACCTCACTCCCTGCAGGTGGCACCCAGGAGGAGAATCCGGGCTTCTAGGCATCTGCAGATGCTCAGAGCAAGGACCACCTGCGTAGCCGGATATGCTGGTGCACACCAGTCATCCCAGCACTCAGGAGGCTTAGCAAGGCCCTGTCTCAAAAACAGTGATAAAAAGGCGGGCTGGGGATGTAGCTGAATGTCAAGGCCCCGCGTGTAATAATCGGTACTAAAAAAACAGGAAGCTTTCTCTGTGCCATCAGTAATGCAGATCCAAAGGGCAGAAGGTGGTTTTGAGATGTCTGAGCGAGTCCATCCCGGAAGAGAACCTTGCCGCGCCCTGCAGTCCCGCGGGGCTGCCTGCCCCAGACGCCCGCCTGTCTCCCGCTTCTCAGAGCCGTCTTCCGGCGTCTGTATCCTGTGAAAGCGTCCCGCGCTGCAGCAGCCCTCTGCCCTCTCACAGTCACGAGATGTAGCCCGTGCGCCCTGGTTTAGTGCGTGTGCAGCGAGTGCGCCAGGCTCCAGGAATGTCACCGCGAGCCACCGCCTGTCCCCTGGTGCCAGCAGCCCATCTTTTCACCATGCATCCCAGACTGTCACCGAGGGCAGCACACTGAGCTACACTGGCCCGCGCTCCTGGCCTTCAGAGGAGACCCTCGGCTCCTATCCCGGGCTGTGGAAGTCAGGATGTGCTGTCCGGAAGTGGTCAGCTCACTGCCCGGCACACAGTGACCACAAGCAACATGGCTGCCCTACGGTCTTCCTGTTGGATGCTCCCACTGGGTCCTCAGGTCACCCAGTCTCAGTCAGCATGGGACCCAGCGTGCAAGCCACACAAGAGCTGCAGGGGTCTCCTCCAGACCTTTGTCCCAAACTGCCGGAGGCGCCATCCGCAGCACGCGCCTGCCCTCTGCTGCTCACTCCTGTCATTTCACTTTGCTTCACTTACCCTCTCGCTGTTACTGAAGCGCAGTCAGGCCGAGGAGAACGTCTGGCCAAATGTCTCAGTTTGTGTTTGTTTGTTTGTTGTGAGGTACCGCGGGTGACCTCAGAGCCTTTGCACTGAGCTATATCCCCATCCCTTTGTTTTGGTTTGGTTTAGTTTGGTACTTTTTGAGACAGAATCTCGCCCTGTAGTTCAGGCTAGCCTCGAACTCACTGTGTAGCCCAGCCTGGCCTCCAATCGCAGGAATCCTCCGGCCTCAGCCTCTTGAGTGCTGGGATTACAGGTGTGCACCATCACGCCCTGCCCCTTTACTTTGTATTTTGAGACAGGGTCTTGCGCAAGTTGTTGAGGCTGGGTTTGAACTTGTGGTCGTCTTGCCTTAGCTTCCCACGCATGACTGTTGCAGAGGACACTGACGATTTCGTTTCTGAACTGCTTTCCTAAAAGCTCCCTTCCCAAGCTGCGCGTGAGGAGAAGGGCCAGGCAGGGCCGTGGGAACCCGGGGAGCCTGACCAGACTCCGCTGTTCTTGCACAGTTCCTTCTCCCTTTCTTGGAAAATACTTTCTAACTGCTCTGCTTCCCCATAAGGATAACTGGCAGTGGAGGAAATGCTTTGAATACTTCAAAGAGGAAACCTTTCCACTCCGGGATCACCTCACTCTGTCCTCCTTACTTAGACACGAATAGTTCACGTGGGGCGGTGTCCCTGGGGCGAGCCCTCCTTTCTCTGGCTCCAGAGGCTCAGGGAAGGAAGCCTGAGCTGAGGGCAGCACCTCATCCAGCAGAACTGTGGGGAAGGGGTTGTGTGCCTGGTTTTCTGGAGCAGAGGGTTGTGCTGCAAGGGGGCGGAGCTCAGATTCCATCTCAAAGTCACCCCGCTGGCTGGCTGTTTCCTCTTAGACCCGGGCCAGGAACTGCTTTCCAAATCCCCTGGTTCTCGGAGTTCTTTGACCTCCTCATTCCTTTGGATTAATAAAGTGAAATGAGGAATTCGGGGGAAGGAGACAAAGGTGTCGCTGCCTTTAGAGAACACGACCATCCCTGTTGTTCCACTTCAAATGGAAAAAAGAAAATGGCCCCAGTAAAAAAACGATGAGAACTGGCTGAGGAAAAAGTGGGAAGGGGCACGCAGGTTGGGGAGGGAACGCAGACGCGGGCACCGGTCCCTTCCCCTCCGCTGCCACCTCCTCCTCCACCGCTCTGGTGCTTGCTGCCTGTGTACTGGTTCCGTGGGGACCCGGTTCCTCTTCTGTGAAGCAGATGCTGGGGAGTCTTGAGCACTTGCTGTGGCCAAAGAAAAACTCAAGGAAGAAGTCAAGACCCTGAGCAGTGATCCTGTCGATTTGAACGTGGCAGGGCAGGATGGTTATGACACAGGCTCTCCAGATGATACAGGGAGATAGTGTCACCCCCGACCTGCTGGATGTCCCATACACGAAATTCGTGTTCCCCGACATCAAAGAATGAATTCTAAGGAACAACGGAGGTTAAGAGTAGGAAATTTTATTGAGGGAAAGACAGCTCCTGAGAGAGCCAGGAGACCTGGAAAATGGATTGCCAACAAGCCCACTTCTCAGAGGAAGTTTTATAGAGCAAAATCTCGGGGTGGGTACAATGTGAGACAAAACTATGATCAACCAATAAGATTATAAATACAGCTGCTTAGGTAATGTTGATCCAATGGGGATGCAGGTCACATAGCAAAAGTACATGGAAAGAATAAGAAACTTATTGGAAGAGATGGGTCAGGCAGTCCTGGTGCCCCACTCGGGTGACTGAGGCCTATTTAGAGTATCAGTTACAGTATATTGTTTATCCCTCGGGGAGGTATGTAGGTGTAGTCATTCCGTCTTTATCTGGAGGCCTGGCCTTCAACAGATGCGCCTCCACCCACAGTTGTAATGTGTTCTTATCTTCTGCACTGGCTCCCTGGAGGGCCTAGCCCTGTTTGGCTGCCTATAATATTTCTATCTAACTTAGCTGTCTGTAATAGTTATGTGGTGTCCTTTAAGACAAAGAGATGCACACTGCTTGGTAAACCACTGAGAACCCAGGTGAGTGACAGACCGTCAGTGAGGAAGACCAGATTCCCGTCTGATGGGCACCCAGGCTAGGAGACAGACACCTGTACAGTTGGAAATTGTGTTGGTTTGGGGATTATTTTGCAAGGGGAAACAATATAATACAGGACACAGAGTTTATAAGATTATTTATAATAGTCACCCAAAGAATGACATACAAGAGGGTACAGGAAATCTGTCCACACACTATAGACCAGGAATCCAGCTGAGAGCCTGGATCCCATGATAATGTCCTGCATGAGTCCAACTGAATACCTAGAGCCCATAACAGTGCCTCCCATGAATCCAACTGGAGGCCCAGAGCCCACAACAACGTCTCATGCAGGCCTGTTTCACAGATCTGCACTGGGAAGGCCCAGAGGTCAATGGTGGAATCTAGGAAGTCTGTGCCAGCAGGATGAAGGATCTGTGCTAGCAGGCTGAGGGATCTGCACTGGAGCTAGGAGCGAAGCACAAAGAACCAGAGCTCCCCGCAAAAGTATCACAGCCATCCTCAGCCACAGTGAGGTCCCAAGCTCCTTCGATGATCAAGATGGCTGAGTTCCCATCAGGGAAGGCAGTGCAGCAAGCTTCTCCAGGAGACTGACAGTGCACCATCTTCCCCTCCAGAGCCAGGAAGCTATGCTCAAAGTGAGGACCAGAGCTCCCCCAAGAGACCAAAGCCAGAAAAATCTGAGCTTTAACAGAATCACTAACAAGTTGTGTATTATCACTCGAAGCGTAGGGGTCCAAACTGGTATAAATAAGTGATGAGTAAAGTAATAAGGGAGGAAGAAGAGAGAAATCTTTTGTGCAGCAGGATTACAAATATATACAGTATGTACATCGTGGGGACGTGGGGATGGAGCCACACATGCTAGGTGAGCGCTCACCATTGAGCTACCCCAGCTCAGAATTGCACATAACTTGAAGACAAGGGGCACAGCTTGTTTTCCTACAATAGAAAGAAGCTGTGCCCTTGTTTTAGTGAGAATATCTAAGGTTGGTGGGATGCGGAGAGAGGCCCCTCACGTCCCCTTTGAGGGCTGATGTAGGGGCAGCCTCTGGAAAGCAGGCAGACAGAGCTCTCCCGAACCAGCAGTGGCCAAGCTTTTTAACCGGGCTCTCTACTAAAGACAGAAAGCCGGACACAGATTTTGGAGTGAGATTCTTACTTCAGCCTTATTACAGCGGTGAGTTCTAGCAGCAGCCCTAGAAATGAGCAGCAGCCCGAGAGTGGGGAGCCACGAACATCGCCACAGGTGGTGGGCACAGCGGTTGCCCGTGAGTGCCAGGGAGAGAGCGGCCTTTCCCTGGCCCAGGGCTTCGAGTGGTCCCTCAGCAGATAGAGCAGTCCAGCACAAGTAGCTTCTGCTCACACCCCCGGCTTCATCTTGGGCACCTGGCTTCTTGATACCCTGTCTGTGGAAGTGTCAGCTGCTCTGGTGTTACCCTGGAAATGAGGCTATTTTGGAACTTCCCGCCCAAGTGAGCGTGGGTTCCCTTCGTCCTCATTGCCCTGAGCGCCCCTGTGTATCCCGAGACCCAAGTCAGCCACCACCTCCTGCTCGGCCACCTTCCCCGGGCTGTGCGGATCTCTGGCCATGCTCCGGTTCTGCCCCTGCGCCCTGTCCCCGTCTTTCCTCCAGTCACCTGCGCACCCCTGGAGGGCGAATGTTCTGCTCCTCTCTGAATTGCTGGCCCACCTGGGTGCTCTGGAAATGGTGAGGAGCATTAGTGTTTCCTATCCAGCAGGATGCATTGGCTTTTTTTCCACAGTGAGACTGGACCCACGAGCTCGAACTCGGGTGGCTTCTGTACTGCACCAGCGCTGCCCTTGAAGACTAGGAAGGGAGCAGCACAAGGAGCGGGAGACGTGGGATGAGACCATGCCGAGCTCCTCTGCCTGAGGAGGGAAATCAGGGTTCCCTTCCCATTTCAAGGCACCAGGGTTTTTTACTTTCTACCTGCTGGTCTTTAATTCCTGATTTTCTTCCTTTTACTTGTAGGAGAAAAAGATGTCATCATATTAGGGGATTTTGGCCAAGGGCCAGATAGCAATGACTACGATATCCTGAGGAGAGAGAAATTCTACCACCTCGTCCCTGCACACACCTTCACCAACATCAGCACCAGGAACCCCCAAGGCTCCAAGTCCCTGGACAACATCTGGATCAGCAAAAGCCTAAAGAAGGTGTTCACAGGTAAGGAAGGCAGAACTCACCCTCCCCCTGCTTCCTCCTGTTCCGAAGTGGATTCAGGGCCCCAAGTCCTGCCTGACAGATGCTACCTCTTCTGTGGGCGTTTACGGGCTGTGGTTTCAGTCACTTAGCCTTCATCAGAGACACTGCAGCACTGGGGTTGGAACCCAAGGCCTCGCACATGCTAGACAAGTACTGTACTCCCAGCCCAAGACAGGATCTTTGGTGAAAGAGGAGGACAGAGTTTTATAGAGTCCCTGCAGATCCATGTTATACTTCAACAAAAAATATCAAACTGAGAAAAGAGCAGTGCCTACATCCCCACGTGAGAGGTTGCATGCAGCGGCCAGGCTGACATCCTTAGTCTGGACTCAGGATGTGTCACCAGCCTCTTCCTCTGGCCACTGGTTTCCTGTGGGACTCTCTGGGGACCTGGTGGGAAGTCATCAGAGCAGGGAGCACCCCCCCGCCCCGGGCCCCAGGGGCCAAAAGAGACAGAGGCAACAGGAGCAAGAAAGAGATCCTTCTGTCCCCAGCCAAACCAGCATCCACACCCTGTAGGTTTTACCGTGACCTGATGTCGCTCAGGACCAAGGACCCCAGCAGTGCCTGTAACAGCCTGTGATTGCTTCTGAAATTGTCGTCTAATTGCTGTCAGATAGCCCTCCTACTTTATGTATTTCTAAGTCTATACCTTTTTCAAAATGCCTTTCCTTTTTCATAAACCTAAATGTCTCTTTTCAACTCTTTCTGTAGAAAGAATTCTCCACCCTGCCCCTCCTACCTTGATGTCTTTTGCTTTGCAAAAGAAGACCTTGGCTGGGGATATCTTCATGAGGCATCTGACCCCCTGTCAAGTACTTTGTATTTTTGGTTTTGCAGTACTAGGGATGGAACCCCATGCCTTCACACTGAGCTACATCCTTCGCCCTTTTTTTATTTTTTATTTTGATACATGGCCTTGTTAATTTTCCCAGGCTGGGCTTGAATTTGTGATCCTCCTGCCCCAGCCTCCCAGAGTGCTGTGATTCTAGGTGTGCGCCAGCACGCCTGGCTCAAATACTTAGTTTGCTGGTCAAGCTAGTAGCAGTGCATAAACAGTGCTGGCTCGCTGCTCTGTGGGGATGGGTAGGAGGCCTGGCCTCTGGGTAGCTTCAGCACCTAAGGGGTGAACCCTTGTTTGTGTGGAAAGTTAATTGGTCAAAATCGCGTGTGTACCGGAGACAGCGGTTTCCTTAGGCAGACGCACAGCCTGCCACCCAGCTGTTCTGCCCTGACTTCTGGGTGTCCCGCTCCTCTCCAGGTCACTGGGCCGTGGTGAGAGAAGGACTCACGAACCCATGGATCCCAGATAACTGGTCCTGGGGTGGAGTGGCTTCTGAGCACTGCCCTGTGCTGGCTGAGTTCTACATAGAGAAGGACTGGGGCAAGAAGGACGGGCCTCGGGACAGCGGCGGGGTCACCCTGGAGCGTAGCGAAGCCAACATCAAGCAGGAGCGATGATGACAGCCAAGTGGATTTCTCCCCTGTGGACTGGGAGGGCACAGCAGGGTGGGAGCCCCTTGCACCTCCTCCGGGGATGTCCACACCCCACCCCTGGGGGGATGGCGGCGCTTGAGGACCTCTCCAGAGCGGGCCATGGCAGTCACATCAGAAACCCGGGAGGACGTGCCACACCAAGCTCAGCAGAAGGAACCTGGCCATCACCAGGCTGGTGACCGGGGGCACGACAGAGGGACAGCAGCTGAGTAGAGAGGAGGAGGAGAGATGGGCTCCTGGCCACCAGCTCCCGGCATTGCCGGCCCACCAGTATGCAATGTTGCTCTGGCTGCAGACTACGGAATGCTTTTAACTGTGATTAACTCTTCTCAAGGATTTTGAGTGATGATTTTTAGTTTTGTTTTGAAAAAATAAACAGATGAACCTGCCTGCCTGTCATGCGTGTGAGGCCTCTCCGTGAGGCTGTGGGAGGCTGCCCAGGTCCTTTCTCCCACAGGCCCTCCACGTCCCAGCTGCAGTCCCGCAGCACCCCCAGCATCTCTGCACACCCCGTGCCGTCCCCTCAGCCCTGACTTCCTCGCTAGAGTGTGCAGCGGCAGTTCTGCTTCTGGGCACTTCCTAGAGCTCAGGGATTCGCATCACGTTTTTCTGCCTGCTGTCAAATTCCAGCCCAGAAGCTCCCTCTGTTGTTCTGAGTGGTGCACAGCTGTCCAGATCCATAGGAATTTACAGTTGGCGTCCACATCCATAGACTCAGCCAACCTCAGATCAAAAATATATTTTTTTAAATTGCATAAGCACTAAACATATAGGCTGTTCTTCCCTTGTTGTTATCCTCTAAACAATACAGTATTACCACTGTTTTCGTAGCCTTGTGTTGTGTTAGTTATCATAAGTCATCTAGAGATGATTTAAATTTATGGGATTCTGGGCCTGGATGTGGATACCCATAGTCCCAGCTACTCAGGAGGCTGAGGCAGGAGGATTACTTCAGTCCAGGCGTTCAAGACCAGCCTGGGCAACATAGTGAGACCCTGTCTCAAATAATAATAATAAAGTAGGATGTATGTGTGCTACAGGCAAACATTATGCCATCCACTATAAGGGACTTGATCATGCTTGGATGTTGGTTTCCCCAAGGGGGATCCCTGCAACCCTCCCTTTGTGAATAATGAGGGATGGCTGTGTGCTGACTCAGTACGCAGGAAGCTCAGCATGAGTGTTCAGGGCGGGAGGATCCTTCTGTGTGGTTGGGGTTGGCTTCTCCCTTAGACTCATCATGACCCTGACCCCATGAGACCAAGAGTCACACCTCCTCAGAGTCATCCATCCAGTAAAGAACTGGATGGGAACTCTGGTCAGGGTGGAGAGTCAGCTTGATTGGCATGGGGCCCACTGGGGAGTTTGGGGGAGAATCCTTCTGGGTATGTTTGGTGGGACATGGAGGTGTGACCTTGAGCATCTATGTCTAGTCCTTGGCCCTTTCCTCACTAGTGATGCTCCCTTGCTCTGTTTCCTGGCTGCCGTGAACTAGACAGCTTTCCTCTGACAGGCCCGTCCACCATATGTTCCTGCCTTCCAGCCAGTGGACCATGGACTGAGTTTCCTGAACTGTAAGCCAAATGAAGTGCCTCTCCTCCTTTATATTGTGGGTGTTGGGCATTGTGTCCCAGCAGTGAGAAAGCAGACTGATACCAGACCTCATCCCCATTTTCACGTATCATCTTCATGTTCAATATTAAGAGACATAACGCCAATTTTGTCATAAAGGCACATTATCATGGGTGTGTAATACCCATGTTTATCCTTTAGAATATTTCTATTGATGAAGCATTAATTTTAATTTTATGAGTTTTATTATATTAAACAATGAGCACTTAACAGGAAAAAAAGCAAGAAAATAAAGTACTGAATTTTTAATATTTATTGAGTGTTTATAAAAAGCATCAAAATTTTCAACATGGAGTGTTTTTTGGTGTACAAAGTCTAAAAAATAACAACAAATAAATTCCTGTATGAACTAGAATGAAAACACCAATAGAACTCTACAAAAAAAATCTTTACTTTTAATTATCACACTTAAAGGGGCTGGGGATTTAGCTCAGTGGCACAGCTCCTGACTGGCAAGCACAAGGTCATGAGTTCAATTCCTGGTACCAGAAAAAAAAAAAAAAAAATTATCACACTTAAGCTAGTCTTCACACAATAACAGCACGTTCCGTGTATACGCATCGCTTACACTGACAACACTGAGTTTTACTTTCCTAACCTTCTTGAAGCATATTCTTGACATCTTGCTGGTCTTGCTATTTTGTCAGGTTCTTACTATATTCTGCAATGTATAGTTGACAGGAACATAAAATATCAATAAATAAAGTATTAAATTCTTCATCTGTATTGTGCATTTAGAATAAACATCATTAGCTATGTGCTTGCTTACAAAATCTAAAAGATAACATCAGAAATAAATTCCTATATCAGTTACAATGAAGATATCAATAGAACTCTACAACAAAAATAATCTTTGCTTCAACTGTCACACCCAAGGCAGTCTTCACACATGACAACTGCATGTTCCATGCACTTGTCTCACTTACACTGAAGCACGTGTGCTTAGCTCTCCTTTCTTGTGTGACAGGCCGTTCTTGTCACCTCTCTTGTCTTCCTCTGTTGTGAGGAGTTTTGTACAGTGTGCACTTAGCAGGAGAATAAGATATCAGGAAAATAAAATATCAAAATTTGTATTTCAGTATTTGTATTTCACAGCATCTTGTAGCATTTCTTCTGTTACAGACAATTTCCAACATTGAATGGTAGTGCTGGCGTCCCATCCAATAGGTTTCACCCCTGCCAAGATCTTCATTGTATTTTCGGACATGGTTCTAACATTGGATTGTTCCATTTGCTTGTGTGACCATCTCTACTAGTCAAATATGAACTCACATTACTGTTTTCTTTGTCATCTGAATCAAGGGGGTCTGCATTCCCTGTGTTAGTATTGGTCAATTCTTACTCCATTTCACTGTCACGGGAACCTTGGCTCACACAGCCAGCATCAAAGTCATCGTCTTCATCTTTTGTGCATGAGTGATCTAATGATTCATTTTTTACCTCTCCAAAAAAGGAAATCTGGTTTTTCATGGCTATTGTACTGAATTGGGCTACTTCTACCAGAAAAATAAAAATTAACCCACGTTCCATTATGGTAAAGTACGTGTTTACATAGCGGGAGAAGGGTGTAGGTGTATTTTACCCCACGTGATGCTCAGATAACACATGCAAAACCTGTTAGCCAGAGTATGTAGGTAAAAATCCTGGTTTGACACATTTGCACATGTGCACACACCTTGCTGTTTGTCATCCAAGCGAGTAAACACAAAGATTGCTTCCTGTATCCCCGAGGTACAGCTACTATTATGCTAAAGTAAAAATTTACAGTAGAAAAGTAGGGGTTGGGGGCTGGGGGGCAGCCACAGCCCCTGGGCACTGTGCTTGTGACCTGTGCTGGCCACCAGGAGGTGCGTGGACAGGCGGTTGATTTTATTCCAGCTGGCCTGCTTGGCTTTGGCTTTTGGTTCTCATATTGCTGTTAATTAATAAACTGTATTTTTAAGAGCACTTTTAGGTTTGCAGGAGAGTTAGGCAGAGAGGACAGAGTCTGCAGCCCCATCCCTGCATCTGCCACCCCAGCATTAATATCACCGTATCGTGACTCATTTGCCCCAACTGCTGAAGCAGCGCTGCTACATTACTGTTAACTCATGTCTGAGGCTTACAGCAAGGTTCCCTCGGTGCTGTGCATCCTCTGGGTTTTGACAAATGGACAGTTGCACCTCGATTTAAAACAGGGTTGCACTGTAACTCCCACAGTTAGTTGAAAAGATCTGGAAGTAAAAAGATGCATTTAAGCCAGGTGTGGTGTGTGCCAAGGACTGCAAGTTCAAGCCCAGCCTGGGCAATTTAGCAACTTAGTGGGACCCTATCTCACAATAAAAAATAGAAAAGGCAGAGGAAAGGCTCAGTGTAAAGGTCCTAAGTTCAATTGCCAAGATCAAAAAAAAAAAAAAAAAATGCATTTAATACATCTCACATATGGGGCTGGTGATTTAGCTAAGCGGCACAGTGCCTGCCTGGCAAGCGTGAGGTCGTGAGTTCAATTCCCAGTACTGGAAAAACAAACAAACAAACAAACAAAAAATACATCTCACATACAGAACATCATTGCTTTGTTCCACTTGCCTTAAATGAGTTCAGGACACTGACACGTTGCCTACAGTTGGGCAGAATCATCCAAGGCAAAATCTATTGATGATAGACTGTTGACTCTATCATGTAAAGTTATTGAATACCTGTATCCAAAACCTGCTAGCGACATCGTCCGATGTAAGGCAACCATCCTAAGTTAGCACAGCCTGTAGGGTGACATATAGCACAGCACAGTATCATACAGAGTATCTCACTGCCCCCCAAATCCTCTGTGGGTGACCGTTTAACATTGGCTCTGCCCACTACACATCAGCAGGACCAGCGGTGCGAGGTGGTGGGAGATCAGGTTTTATTAGGATGTACCAGGTTTACCTGGAAAATGGGAGAATGTTCTTACGCTAATGGCCTTGTAGGTTTTGTTAGGCAAAACATTTTTATGAGGAGGGAAGGGGGACAGTGGGCTCATGAACAGAAAGGCCACCTGCTTGGTGGCATCTGGCCACTTAATAGCCATCTGCATTCAGGGGGTGTTTGCTCTTGAACTGAAAGATTCCTGTGATGACAGATGACTTTCACAAATGCCCCTTTTGCCTCCTCCACCTGTGGTGCGGCCCCCTTGTGTAATCTTTGGAATGAACACATCATGCAAGTTGAGTATCAGTCTTCTTTTAATGAGAGAACGAGATTATCATGTTTTTGCCTCACACTTTGATGCTATGTGAAGACGACCAGGTAGTCCCATGTTCAGAACAGGAGCATCTCAGCCATTTAAGGCTGAGGCAGGAAGATCCCAAGTTCAAGCCCAGCCTTGGTGATTTAGAGAGGTCTATCTCAAAAAAGAGCTAGGGGTGTAGCCCTGGGCTCACAAAAGGGGTGTGTGTGCGGTGGGGTGGGGGTATCTTTTAGAAGGTACAATGTTGGACAAAGGAAAAAAGAATGACTTTACTAGCGGCCACTTAGCAAAGTAAAGCTGATTTGGGCTCCGGTGGGATACAGCAAAGCAGTGAAATCAGTCAATTTGCTCTGCCTCCCCATCATCCTTCCCTCCCCGTTGCCCCTGGCAACCAGGGCTGCTCTCCTGCCTCCTGCTGCTGCCCTTCCCAGAGCTCCCAAGATTGGACTCACACAGTGAGGCTCTCTGTGGAACAGCTTTTGCACAGAGTGACGGTGACCGAGTCCAGGTCCACAGTGACTTCCTCTCACTGAGCACTTGGCTTCCTGCGGTCGACCTGCCCTCCCTCGCTTCTTGCTTCTGGAGTCCTTGCACCCAGCGCCAGCTCTGCTACCCCTGGGCAGGCATGCTTTCTCCACTGCCCTCCCTCCTGTTCTTCCTTTCCTTTCCTTTTCGTCAGGATTGGCCAAGGAGGGGCCAGCTGGGAAGGACTTGGTGGGAGAAGCCAGTGGGCCCTGCCGAGAGGAACTGGGTTTTTCTGGAAGTGATAAAGGGCTGGGGGTTCTCACACGCCTGGTCCCAGGTCAGGCCTGTACATTCCTGGGGCCCCCATCACAGGGACACAGCCGGCACCGGAGCTCACCCCGCCACATCCCAACCCGCCCCGCCCCACCCTCTGTCCCTGGGAGGGCTGACAGCTCAGTGCCCTGCTCTCTGCACCCGCATAGCCAGGGCCCACGTCCTCTAGTGGAGCCCTCACATAACTGACCCAGTGGGAGGAGCGGGGGTAACCCGGGCTCCCTGAGACTACACAGGGTTTTTTTCCATGGGCTTCCATGGCTGCGTGTGGTAGCGCACATCTGTTATCTCAGCACTGGGGAGGCTGAGGCAGAAAGATTGCTTTGAGTCAAGACCAGCCTGGACTACAAAGTGAGACACTACCCCAGCACACACACACACACACACACACACACACACACACACACACACACATGACAGTTGAACCAGGATCTTTTCACTGATTTAAAATCCCCATCCTTTAAAATAAATTTTTTTGAGATAAGGTCTCATTAAATCACTAGGTTGCCTGGGCTGGGCACAAACTTGCAACCCTTCTGCCTTAGCCTCTTAAGTGCTAGAATCATAGCAGCTGTAGGAGTGCTTTAGGGTGTTTCTTTTTCTGAACGCTGTTTATTATCAATTTGTCTAAGGAGGCAGTCACCAGACAACATAGAAATCGGATCTTTTCACACTTGCTTCGCCTGGGGGTCTCAGGGCTGCCAGAGAGGAGTTTGGGTCCTGAGGCTCTTAAGGGAAGATGTACCGTAGCACCTGGCAGCACATCTAACCCCGGGCTCCTCGGAGGTTTGCTCTCCCGCCAGTTATAGGAAGTGTGCCTCCCTGAGTGGGGGTGCTGGTCCCTCTCAAACCTCAGTGATTTACCTGTGAGGGCCTGCAGGGGCCTGGAGGGAGCGGCTGCGTTGTTACCAGTGTTTCTGGAGTAGCAGGAGGCAGCAAGCCGCTGCCGGGCTCTGCCTGTGGCCTGCAGGACAGCAACTGCGCGTTCCCTCGCCATGCCACAATCCAGAAACAGGGACCTCAGCGTGTGGGACACTGCGACTTGCCAAGGTCAGAAATATCTTTGGCCGGAGGCTCTGGTAATATTTCACATGATCTCCTTCTCTCTCATTTCTCTAAAAAGGAAAAACTGGCTTTCCAGAGAAGTGTCAGAGGTAGCAATGTCAGTAAGATGAAGCAGAATCTGAATTCCACACTGCCGGTACCCAATATATTGCTTCAAATGCACATAGCTGTGTATCAGTGAGGAGCAGTGGAAGAGGTGCCCACGCCCCTACAACTCCTGGCCCGCTTTTTTAAAGTTTTGAGACAAGGTCTCATGCACCAAGTTGCTCCCCAGGCTGGCTTTGAACTTACAACCCCGTTTCAGCCTCTTGAGCAGGTGAGATCCAGCATGTACCACTACATCCTGCTATGTCAAGGAATTTTATGACAAACTTGGCAGGGCGAGTTTTAGAGTAGACAGCGGGGGAACTGCATTTTGGGTGGGTGGGCAGGAAAGTTCAGTAACTCCTTCTCCGGGTCTTTATAGTGCTGTACAAACCCCTCCTACTACATAGTCTTTCCCACTTGAAATCCAGAGTACAGGTTAGGATTGAGCTGTAAGGCCCAGCCAGTGAGAGTCAACACCTGGGTCCAGCCAGATAAAGTGCCAGAGCACAAAGAGAAAGGAAAGAACAGAGCTAGGGGTCCCTCTGGTGGAAACATCTGGAAATTCACTGAGGATGCTGCCCGGCCTCCAAGATTGACAGCTCTCAGCTGTTCTCTGCTTGTTAATGTCGAATCACGGACACCCAGCGACCCAAACAAGTCACAGGGAGCTGGATCTTCCACCACCAACATCCAGTGACAGAAATACTGTCTTCTTAAATCCCTTCAGCTCCCTAGAGGATTCAAGCTACTTAATTTTCCTAGAGATTTAACATTAATTAGGGGTGCTGGGGATTTAGCTCAGCAGCACAGCGCCTGCCTGGCAAGCACAAGGTAGTGAATTCAATTCCTGGTACCGAAAAAAAAAAAAAAAAAAAAAAAGGGTTCAACAGTAATTAGGAAAATACTCCAAATTTGATAGGGTTTTAAATTTTATATATATTTTTTATTTTAGTGGTGCTGGGGACTGAATGGACCCTGGGATTTTCACATGCTAGGCAATGAGCTATACTCTCAGTTCTGATAAAGGTATTTTCATATGGCCAGAAAACCAAATACTAGTTTATCTAAATTTGAGATGTTTACACTTAAATGAACTTTTTGCTGCTATTAGGAACTTTGGTGTCCATCACTGGTGGTGAACCTACAGCATGGCACACATGCTGCAACTGGCTGTTATCACGGAAAGCTCTAAGAGGTTTGCCATCACTGATCTGTATGAATGCAGGGTCGTTTCACTTTACCTCATCCCCTTGGGGGCGTTCTACAGAGCTCCACAGTGCCTTGGAACCACTGTCCAATAAAACCCCACCTATTCTTAGGGCTTCGGCTCCACAATCTCCCACCTCCTGGCACAGTTTCCAGGCAATAATTCCTTTGGCTTCAGAGCCAACAGTGAACACAGGTGGGTGAGACCCACAGCCAGCTGACAGGCTTCCGAATTCAAAGACCACTTACCAGCCTGATGGTGAGGGCACCCGTCCTCTCCTCAGTCCCAACAGACTTGTGTTGGTTCCTCTGGGAACCGAGGCTTTTTGTCCTTCCGTGCTGGGGATGGAACCCAGGGCCTTGCCCGTGTGAGGCCAGCGCTCACCACAGAGCTGCACCCTGGTCCCACCTGGCTTCTGAGGCCTCCAGCAACTGCGTTCATGGCCTGCCCTTCCCTGGGCTGAGCTGCTCAGGCTCCAAGCATAAGCTTGCAAAGAGCAGCAGCAAACCTGAGAGCAATCTCCACTCTGCAAAGGGCCTCTTGCTCCGCTTGGAACACACAGCAGGCCCTCGGGCCGCAGGACACTGTCTATTTATGCTGCACTCCTCCCTCCCTGTGTCCTCTTCTTCCGCAGACCTCTGGCACTCAGCGCAGCTCCTGCCCCTCAGCAGGTCCTGCACAAAGGTTAAGAAGGGAACGTGTCACTGCCGCCCTCCCTCTTCCTTCCCCATGCACCCAAGGGGTGTACGCCGAACTAACGGGGGCTGCAAGTGCAGACTTCTCGATGAGTAAGGCCGCTAGTGATCTAGGGGACAGAAACTCCCAACCTGAAAGGTATCTGGGACGAGTTCGTGTTCTCTAAAATCGAAGAATGAATTTTAGGAACAACGGAGGTTAAGAGCAGAATATATTTATTGAGGGAAAGAGAGCTTCTGTCCAAGAGAGACAGGAGGGGGCCTGAGTGGGTTGCCGAGGACCATGCCTTTCCCAGGGATTTTATAGGGCAAAACCACGAGGTGAGGTGGGTCCAGGGTGGGAAACATGGGAAACCGCAAGGTGGGCAAAAGGTGGGACAACAAAATAAAGATTATAAGTCAGCCGATAAAGATTACAAGTATAACTGTTCAGATACAATGGATTAAATCTGGATCAAACGGGGAAACAAGTCATGTAGCTGAATACAGAACAGGGGTCTTTCCTGTAGGGCGTTCAGTTAGTGACTCTTCCTGGCTTTTTCAAGGTGATTCATACCTATTTAGAGTATCAGTCCCCGACGTCCATCCCTAGGGAAGTATGTGGGAGCATTCGTTTAACCTTCTGACTTGAGGTCTGGCCCACAGCAGAAGTGCCTGCCTCTCCCACAGTTGCAAAGTTAAACTTCTGCACTGGCTCCTTCGAGGGCCTGGCCCTGTCTGGCTGCCTATGATCTTTCTAACTAACTCAGCTGCCTACAGCTCCAGGAGACACAGTTCCCCAGGGCCTTTTCAGTAATTACCACACAATCAAACACAGGAAATGTCACAATATAAGTATAATTTGGCTTTCAGAGAGCGGAAGTTTACATATACACAATATACATCCACAGACTTCACTTGGGAACCTCGGTGCTACTTCTTTTTATTATAACTCGACACAAAATGCCCAGAGATACACAATAGAAATTTTAAGCACTTTTACAAAAGTGAAAATATAAAGAAACAAAGACAATGGATTTATGTTTTTCAAACAATTTTACCTTAAATCCATCTGGTGCTAAAACTTAAAACAGTTTACCAAAATATTTATTTGATCCAACCACATGTTAGAATTATAGGGGGAAAAACTGAAGAAATCCTAATTTTCCATACCCTGTGGCAAACAACTATTAAGAGTTAAAATCAGTTTGATCTTCAACTAAGTACTGTCATTAAGATTTTATGTGTTCATTAAAACTTTTATTTTGGGGAACAAAACAGATCTTACTTCTATTTCAGAAAAGAGAATAAACACTTATTTAATCTTCAAGCTCAATTTTTAAAGCTGAAAGCACTTTTACAGTATTTCTGCTAATCTGAAGCTACTTTTGGTTCACTGCTAACTTGTAAAACATCTTAATGACAATCAATGTGATTTAAGGTCATTTTTTTTTGTCTACAGAATCCTCATGTTTTTGTATCTTTACACCAAAGCAGTAAGGCAAGAAAGCAGTTCCTTTTCCAAATCAGACAAAGATAATATCTACCCACTTTAAATTCAGGGGCTAGAACCACTGCAAATGATCCCAGTAGGAAATTAAGGCTCCTGTGATTTTTCTTTAATTTACACTATAAGGTAAGACTAGCAGTGTTATTGCCTGCATATGCTGGACTTACAAACATCTGGGCTTACGTCACAGGACATAGGTACAATATTGCCATTTCTGTCTATACTTACAACACAAGGTTTTCACAATCACCTTTGATGAGTTTTAAGTCAAAGAAAACACTATACCAAACTGAAAGTACAGGACTGCCATACAGACACCTGCTCAAGGTGACCGGCAGGTTTGCGGCCCCTACTGCCTCCTCGAAGGTAGAAATGCTGGCCATGCAGTCAGGATGGCACAAGGTGGTACTTTCTACACTCCCGAGGACCTGCTGGGCACCTCTATCCTGGGAGTGCATCCTCCTCCTTTGAGGCTAGCCCTTCAAGGTATATGAAAGAGAACGTTCACAGCACCCAGCCTGCACAAGATTTCCTACAATCATTTCTAGCACAAAAGGGAACAGCTTTCGCAGTATAAAGCTACCAGGATGAGCACCGCGGTTTAGCCTGAACGAGGTACAGAGAAGCTCAGGGCTTTGGGTAGAGACTGCAGTGGCAACCCTGAATGGGTGCCACTGAAGTGTTCTTTCTGATCATTAAAGTAAGTTGTGGGGAGAACTGTTTGGTTCCCAGTATACACAGCCAAGTATACACTGAACCAGTCCCAAAGCTAAGTGTGCAGGCTGACGGCGGGAGACACACAGCAAACACAACCCCTACTGCTGAACTTACGCATGCTGTCACTGGTCGATGAAGTCACAGATCGGGGTGAAGGACATCAGGGCAGTGTTGCAGGGCCGGGGGATCAGGTGGAAGCGCCTAGAGATGCTACTTCTCAGAGCATGGGCAAGTTTGCCCTAGCTAGGTTCTAGGTCAGGTTATTCGTCTCCTCCTTGCTACATATTCCAAGTAAGTTCCCCCTCCCCAACCATTTTGATTTGTGCACATATACTTATCATTTCTATAAAATAACACAGAGGAAAAACCTTCAAACTTTCTCAAAGTTTTAAAAGGGTGTAACAGGTTTCAGTAAGTAAAAAGAGTCTAGTTAAGAGATAACTGGGCAAAAAGGGACAATTCTCAGAGGCTGGGATGTAGTTCGGTAGTGAAACACAATTTTTCAGTTTAGTTTCTAGAAGCTGAGAAGGTAAAATAACAACGTATAAAATAAAGGATTTAAGGACAACTGTTCACACTGCTTTTCCTCTTCCTTTAACATTACTTAACTTGTACGAGAAATCTGAGCCATAGCTGGCTTTCTGGAGCATCCCAAGACTGGGTTTTCAAAGGAGAACGCACAGCCGCATTGGCAGTGTGCAGGGCAGGGCTGGCTTCACCATCTCCAGCCCAGAAGGCTCAGTGCCCCAGAGACGTTTACTGCATGATACACCAGGAGTCTTTGGAAACCCTCAGCAGGCACGTTTTCAGTCAGCTCCGCCGAGACTGAGATGAAAGCAGGAACAACCTCCCTCCGCAGCCCACAGAAACATTTTGGGGAAACAGTCTGTTTGCATTTAACCTAAAAATTCAGCTGAACACTGAAGACCATTCTTCAGAAAACTCAAGTGGAAAGTCACTCTTCTCATGGACCCACTGTCATGGCCGCACCTAGCCGGTGACTCCCGTGGGCCTGTCTGGTCTGCTGCACCTAGATGAGGGCCTGCAGCTCTCTGTCCGTGAGCTCGTTCACCTCCATGATCTTCTCCAGGTGCTCCATGTACCGCTCGTGGTCCTGCAGGAAGTGCGGGACCCGCATGTTCTCCGTGACAGCCAGGTCTTTCAGGCGATCCACGTCTTCGTAAGAGACCTGGAAAGGGGACAACATCTTTATTTATTTATTTATTTATTTTTTGTCTTTTTGAGACAGGGTCTTGCTATGCAGTTCAGGCTGGCTTTGAGCTCACTTTGTAGCCCAGGCTGGTCTTCAACTCTCAACGATCTTCCTGCCTCAGCCTCCCAAGTGCTGGGATTACAGGCGTGCGCCACCAAGCCCAGCAAAGGGGACAATTTAAAACTAACTACAATTTACATTTAGGATGGATTTCTGCCCTGGGTCTTGAAAAAGGTATCACATGGATCATTTTCAAGTTACTGTTTTTCTGTTTTGTTTTTTTGAGACAGTCTCACTATATAGTTCAGTCTGGCCTTGAACTCACTACATGGGCTAGGTTGGCCTCAAATTTATGGCCATCCTCCTGTGCCGCTGCCTCCCGAGTCCTGGAGTATAGATATGCGCCACCAAGCCGAGCCTCAAATTACCTTAATAGCTGCAAAATACCAAAAATCAGTGGCTTGCTTTTTTATTATGTTAAATAAAAACACATTTGCCTCCTGGGTTATGACCATATTAAAAGGCTACTGCAATCACTATTTAATTTAACACACTATCTTGGGCCTAAATTAATGTTTAAAAAGTAGGCAACTAACTTTATGTGTGTGTGAGACTTCAAATAAAACTCCCAGTAAATCAAATAAAGATAATACATAGAATAATTGTTAAATTAGCACCATTATATACTGGATTCCTATTTCTATTTATTTAACTTGAGAAACAATGACTTGTGATTTGCATTATATTCTTATTTTTCACAGGTATTTCTGCTAGGTTTAGTTAAAGCTTTTCAGTTCTATAAATTATCTTTTTCATCTTTAAATTCCAAAACATGCTTGATTTTAATAAAAGGCAAAAGATTTATACACTCTGAAGAGAAACCAGAGTATAACATGGTTGATTTTAAATACTACTGGTCTCCTGGTCAACACTCTTCCAGGTTCAGTTGGAAAGCTTTCTGAAAAGAAATCATGTTTATATTACCCTGTCTTCCTGAAAATAAGTCCCACTTAAGCTCACCATCCAGATGCATTTAGTACATCTGCTGCAACACATGTCGGGTGTACTGGATTATGAAATAATAATAGTAATAGATAATTAAATATAAATAATACTGGCATTAGTACTTAAAATAAATGATAAGTAGTTAAGTATTTATAAACACCCCAGAAGGTGCCTTTGTACAACAGGTAAATGCCTATGCAAACAGATGAATTCGGGATTTACTGCCGAATGACCTAATGACGGGTGTACAGACACAAGGCACTGATAACACGCACACTTGATAACAAATGCACGTGGGTATGTCTAATGTGAATCTTCATCATTCAATATGGCATGTGTTGTAATGGACATACTTAATGTACTCATGTGAAATAAAGAAACATCTTCTGAGTTTTGGTGCCTGCTATTTGTCACTGCTTTTTATGGGTCATCGATCTTAACTGTCATCGTTTTTGTTGCCACTCTTGTCTCGTAAGTCTACAATTAACACTTGATTTACTGGAAACTCTGTGAAGCCCAGCCTGCAGGAGGTTGTGCCTCGGGTGAAGAATCCATGGGGTAAAGTCCCTGACACCTATGTTGTCAGTGCTCTACGAGCAGGCCACGTGGACGAGACGCACTCAGGGAGGCAGAGCTCTACTGCTGGACATAAGACTGGGGCCAATGGTTCTGTGGGAAATGGAGTCACAAGAATTTCAGGCTGGGGGCTGGGGATTTAGCTCAGCAGCACAGCGCCTGCCTGGCAAGCGCAAGATCGTAAGTTTGATTCCCAGTACCGGAAAAAAGCCAAAAAAAAAAAAAAGAATTTCAGGCTGGAGTTCAGGTTTGGAGTTGTGACAATGTTCCAGAAGATGATGATATAACTGTATCTGAATAAATGTAGAGTTCTGCACCTGAATAAATCAATAAATACAGATTGTTGTTCATGAAAAAGTAAGACATCCTCTGAAGATAAGCTCTCCTGTGTCTTCTGCAGCAAAAATTACTGTAAGAGCCAGTCTTGTTTCTAGGGAAATGTGGCATATCCATATCTTACTTACTTTAAATGTTTTTATTATCATTAAAGTTCTGTAGTTACTGTTTACACCCATACTTGAAATGAAAACAGGTTTGTGGACACTGGCATGGCATAGCAAGACCCTGCCTCAAAAAAAAAAAGACTGAACCAATGACAGATTTCTTTCAAAAACTGTATGGTCATGTCTGAGGATATCCTTGTTCTGGGAGATACTAAGGGGGAAGTGTTAAAATGCTTTTAGAAAGAGATGCTACTTAGAAAAAGCAGATATAAAAATAAAATTATGCATAATCCCAGATTTTCTAAACCCATTATTCACCGCAAAGAAACCTTTGACAGAACCACGTTTTCCCCTTTTGTTACCACGTAAAAGGAAGAGTGCGAACTCGAGTCTCAGCACAGCGGAACTGAACTGGGGAGTGAAGACCGCGCCCACACTGAGGCTTCCTCACCTTCCCCAGCGCTGTCAGCAGATGAAAGTCTATGGACTCTCGGTATCGGAGGATTTGAAGGATGCCATCCAGGTAGACTTGGTCTTTACTGAAACACCCTGGAAGAAGCACAAGTGTTTATTTTCTGATGTTTAAAAAATTACTAAGAGGCCGGGCATGGTGGCGCACGCCTGTAATCCCAGCACTTGAGGGCTGAGGCAGGAGGACTGTTGCAAGTTCGAGGCCAGCCTGGGCTACAAAGTGAGCTCAAGGCCAGCCTGAACTGCACAGCAAGACCCTGTCTCAAAAAAACAAAAAAAAATAATAATAATAAGAAGAAGAAACTGGGTACCAGTCCAATTCCCTCTACTGTAGGAACAGACCTGAAGTACAAAAATTCTAACATGGGGCTGGGGTGCTGCTCAGGGGTGAAGCACCTGCCTAGCGCGCACAGGGCCCTGGGTTCCATTCTCAAGACTGCAAGGAAAAAAAATCCAGTTTGCCGGTGTTTGTTTACAATAACAAAAACATGTGAAGTCTGGGCAAAGCCAGAACAGTATGCAGATGAGGTTTCCCTTCCCCACACTCCTTCTTCTTAACGCTTCTCCTTAATTATAAAGAAAGGCAGGCAGTTTACAATGCACGACTCTCATGATTCTACCACCCCTGCTGATCAACCTGATGGGACTCCCAGGGTGCACGAAGGCCCTGGGTGTGGGGGATGGGAGAGTTCTGGAGCAGTTAAGGTCTCAGCAAAGGCCATGTGCAGACAGACTTTACAAAGTTTCCTTTCCTGGTCTTTTAGGTTTTTGTTGTTGCTGTTGTTGTTAAATAATAACAGACCTCTGCCCTCAAAAGAAGAGGCTATGGCTTAGAAAGAATCTAGGTTATTTTGATACCGCTCTTCTCTATGAAAGTAAGATTTAGAACTGGATTTTAAAGAATATGTAGAGTTAGGAATAGAAAAATAGGAATCCATGAAAAATAGGAATAGCTTAAGAGATCAGAGTCTATTTTTTAAAAAGATGATGGAAATCTTTTTCTCATTTTGACATAAATTGTTTTTAAAATCTTTTACTCTGCACTAAATGGACTAGAGTGGTACCACACAGTCATACATGGAGCCAGGTATCATTAGTTTTGTTAGGTAAGCTACTAACATGGGCACTGTGAAAAATTCTGGTCCCATCAGCAAGAGATACGTACTGCAGTATCCATGGTCAGGATGGCAAAGCTGTTCTTATAATGCTATAGGGAAACAGGAACACGAAGAACAGATGAGCCAGTCAGTAACACTGATGGTTACTAAGATCACATAATGTATGAATGAAGGCTCAGCCTATTCATTGTTCTTGTTTTTACACACATTTGAAATTTTCCAAAATATGGCAACCCAATCAGGACCTTCCTGTCTCTCAACATCCCCTCATTCCTATCTCCAATAAATATTCCGACTCTTAAAAAAAAAGAAATTTTCCATAAAAAAAAAATGTGTGTCAAGCAAAAGACTAGTCTAAAAGTCGCATGCTTTCATGGGGTATAAAGGGCAACAGGCAAGCCCTGGGCACTAAAACAGACTAGAGCTGGGCATGGTGGCACATGCCTGTAATCCCAGCACTTCGGGAAGCTGAAGCAGGAGGGTCGCAAGTTCGAGCCCAGCCTGGGCAACTTAGTGCCTTAGCGAGAACATGTTTCAAAAAGAGCTAGGGATATAGTTCAGTATGAAGGCCCTGGATTCAGTCTCCACTAATGCAAAACACACAAAAAAACAAAACAAAGAGATTGAAAAAGGAGATAGAAAATGACAGACCCTTTATGAGGAACCCACCCTGGAGGCAGCTGTGCACACATGAAACCAGGGGACAGAGGGCCTCTCTCCTGTCTTGCCCGATCCCCACTTTCGGACAGCCACACGTCCACACAGCTACACCCCGGCTACAACGTGCTAACGTGGGCCGCGCTGGTGACAAAACCACCACAGCCCGAGCGTTTCCGAGCTCTAAATAAGTAGTTTAGAAATACTTTCAGGTGGCATTTTTGGATATAGTGAACTCATCTCAAAATCAAAATGATTTTTAAATAAACAGCTCCTAATTTTTATGCTTTTATTTTCAAGAAGTTTCATACTGGAATTATGATTTGTATGTTGATGTCCCCCAGTGGATTAGCTCACTGATGAGCGTGTACCTGAATGAGATACCAGGTGAAGCCTGGTGGGAGGTGGTGGGTCACTGGGGCTATTCTGGCTTCTATCCAGATGCCCTCCCAAAGCCTCTTGTGCTCATAGGTGGAGCCACTGGGAGATGACTGGATCATGGGTGTGTGACAGTGGATCAGTCCACTGAAGGGTTTATAGCTGGGTATAACATTGAGGGGAAGCCTGGGGGAAGGAGCAGGTAACCATGGGTGTGGCCAGGAGGCGTTATGTATATCCTTCCTTCTTCCGTGAGCTGTGCTCTGCTTCCTGCCTGTCACACCATGGACTGCACTTCCTCTGCCATGCCTCCCTTCCTTGGAACCAGCCAACTGTGGACTGGAACCTCCAGAACTGTGAGCCAAAATAAACCTTTCCTCCCTTAACTTGTGTGTGTCAGGTACCATGTCCCAGCAATGAGAAAGTACTACAGGAGCTATGGCCTGGAAGGGCCTGTCTCCCTCCCTCCTCCCTTGATTGTTCTCTGCTTCCTGCCTGTCAAGAGCACACCTCCCCGCCAGGCCCCCCGGCCATGCCGCCCTGCCTTGAAGCCAGCTGACTCTGGGCTGAAACGGTGAGCCATAAGAAACCTCTCCTCCTTACAGCTGTGGGTGTCAGGTCCTGTGTCTCAGTGATGAGAGAAGGAACTGAGACAACTACCAGAGACTTCTTTTATGTATTTTGTTAAAAGCAAAACAAAAAATTTGTGCAGTATCTGACATCTTTAGGCTACTGACAAAAATTCTTAAACTTTCTATTACAAGTGAATCTACGGAGACTAAGAGTGAAAAAGTGGCTGCTGAGAGGTGGAGAGGGGAGGAAATGAAAGATGACTGCTAATGGGGTGCTAAGAATAGCCTGCAATTGGTGGCAATGTTTGCACAACTCTGTCATATCTTAAAAAGCATAGCACTTTATATTTTAAATGGGTGAACTGCATGGCATGTGAGTTACACATCAACAACTGGTGAATCTTGATAAAGGAAGGGTATATGAATGTTATAGCCTGTACATTTTCAAAATGAGCTGTACAAAAATAATGCTCAGAAAGAGTGGTTTGGAAAACAAAGGTTTCCCTTGTCACATATGACTGAATCCTCAGACTTTACAGTTAGATTCTGACCTGCATCCCATGCTACCTAGCCAGTGACCCAGGAACCATGGTCAGGGACACCCACCTGGCTGGGAGGTGTCAGTCCAGCCCCTCTTGGCTCGTACGCAGTAATCCCATCGGGTATTGGGGTCCTTGACAAATCTGCCAATGTCTCTGAAGAGTTCACAGAACGACATGTGGCTGGCCTGGTATACGGTGTAGTAGAGGAGGGCGGCCCTCCATAGGAAGGGGTCCTTTCTGAACAGAACGCTGTGGATGCTCGCCAGGCCCTCCTCTGTGGGGTTGTTGGGCTTTAGCTCGTGTTTTCTGCGGCCGGTCCAACTGTTCCACGGCTGCTGCAGGTTGTTGATACCTCGCAAGTAATGTGTGCCTGCAGAGAAGAGGAGGGATGTGGGTGAGAACTGCTCCACCCCAAGGCAGAAGGGTTTGGTCCCCAGCTCAGTGCCCCTGGGAGGTGGAGGAAACTAAGGTGAAGCCTAGAGGAGGTCTCCAGGTTACTGGGATGTGCCCTCCAAGGGGATAATGGGATCCCAGCCTCTTTCTCTTCTACTCTCTTTGGCTTTTTGGCCTTGAGCTTACTTCTGTTATAGTGTGCCAACCTATCCTGGACTGAACCCTCCCAAAATGTGAGCCAAAACCAACCTTTTCTCCTTTGAAGTTGATTACTCCAGTTTTTTGTTATACGAATAGAAAACTAATATAGAAAAGATTCCACCAACAATTCTAAATTGATGTTGGCCTACAAATCCAAAGTAGAAAATGACTTGCCCTAAAGCCTCTGGGGCTAACGGAGTGCAGTCCTTTCAGAAAGCCCAGAGGGCCTTTATAACCGTATTGTTTGAGAGGAGACTTGGCCTTGATGTTTGAAAAGAATCTTAGAGACACTTATTTCAACCCCCTCAGCTGAAGGTGGGGGAGCTGAAATCCAGAGGAGTGAAATGACTTTCCAAGCTCAATACAGCTATGGATGGATGGTGTCCTGACAAATTGAATCTGAAATAAGTAACATTTTCTTTCTCTCTCTCTCTCTTTCCTCTCCTTTCTTTCCTTCCTTCCCTCTCTCCCTCCCTGCCTCTTTTTCCTTTCTTTCCTTCCTTCCTTCCTTCTCTTCCTCCTTCCCTCTGTTTTTCTTTCATCTTTTTGAGACAAGGTTTTACTATGTAGTACAGGCTGGCCTTCAACTCACAGCAATCCTCCTGCCTCAGCTTCCCAAGTACTGGGATTACAGGCGTGTACAACTACACCTGGCCAAGTATATTATCTTTAGTCCTAATACTGCTTACCAACCACATGCTTCCTGCTAAGAGCACCACCCTGGGCTAACTCCTGCCATTCCAAGTGGCCAGGGGCTGGAGATGCCCACCTATCTCATGCCGCAGCATCCCCTCCAGCCAGTGCTCGCGCGCAGTGGCCACGTTGATAGTCAGAGTGGGACACCCGTTGACCACCGTCATCGAGGCTCGGGACAGCAGGTCTTCGGTGAGATGCACCACAATCTAAGGGGTGAGAGGAAAGTACGTGTGTAGAAAACAAAGGAAAGGTGGGGAAATGCTGTCACAGAAAACCACGCGCCCAGGGGTGAACACTGCCTTTTATCTACGGCTACCCTGACTCTGCCAGAGACCAGGGCCATGGGAGAGTGCAGCCGGCCACCTTTATCTGTCTCTGGACTCAAGAACCTTTGCTGATGAGAAGGAAGACGCTGGGCAGAGGAGATTCGGAAAACCTAAAACTGAACTGTCAGGGTCTCTCAAGTAGTCCCTGGCTACAGGGGCAAAAGAACGCGCAGGGGCAGAGTCCTGCTGGTGGCCGGTGGCAAGTCCCTGAGACTGACCACTAACAATGGGGCCGCTAACAGGAGCGGCCACCAGGCAACACTCCTCCTCAGCAAGGTTCAGACCGGACTCCACGTAACCCCATGTTTGTACACGGATGGCTGGTACAAGAGGACAGAAGCAGAAGGGAACAACACAACCATTCGAGGCAAGGGGGCTCGGGCACGCGGCGCAACGCCCGCACCTCTCCCAGGCAGCCCTCCTTCGTCATGTACTTCCGCACGTGGCTCCAGATGCGCGGCCTTGACAGCAGGCTGCCGCCCGTGGCCTGCTCGAATTTCTCGTAGCTGCCGTACTTCTGTAGAGTCAGTTCCATGATACGGACGGACTGCAAAAGCAGGAGAGAGGGAGACAGTAGAGGGCTTCACAGGACTCTGAGATGAGTGGCAAGCCAGCTCTGACTTGTTCCAGTCTCACTGATTACCAAAGTACCCAGCGAGTGAGGAACACTAGTTAGCAGCTGGGTTTTTAAAAAATCTTCAAAAATTTAAGAACATATAAAACAATCAATTAGTCTTCTGTGACCATCTCTAAAACCATTGTTTTCCTGGGCTAATCTCTGGCAGACAACACAGTCTCAGGACCCATGAGAACACTTACCTTTCTTTCAGACCGGAGAACTACTTCTCATTCTTTATACATTTTCACAAGAAAGGAATACAAAGGTTGAAACTCTGCTCTCCACACACGCACGGGAGGAGCAGAAGACCAAAGGCGACTGGTAACAAACGACGAGTCATCATAAACATGGAAAAGCCCCAAGAAAGAGAAACAAAAGGAGGAAGAAAACTGCCCTCCAAAGGTCTTTTGGAACAGAAATTGGAACATTCAAGTATATCTCATATGAATTGCAAAACACCTGGGCAACTCCCATACATGTTATCTGACTTGGGGGAGGTGAAGGCACAAGCTCTAGGGCGGGCCCCCTGACCTTACGCCCTGGCTCCTTACCCCCCAGCTGATCTCCACACTGGCCACTCGGCCTCCGCACCCCTCACTTGTGAAGGAGGCTCCACTTCCAGGTTTTGCTGAGAATATTTCGTCCACCTTTGTCAAGCATAGCGCATGGACATAAAATGAAGCTGCACCTCCTATCCCATCAGTGGTACATTACTATTTTTTTTTTACAGATACTATCACTGTAAATAACAAGCCTGCCGTCAAAATTACAGGAAAACTCACAATTGGGAGTCATGATCATTCAACATATATTCTCATTAGAAAAATGTACATTACTTAACAAAAAAGAAAAGAAAGAAAAATGTACATTACTAATAAGGTAGGCATGTGTCATAAAGTTAGCAGAACAAGCAGTGACTTTAATTTTATGATTTCTGTTTCCAAACTATTACTAAAAGCCTTGCTAGTCAGTGTGGGCCGGCAGCGCCAGCAGGGTGGGAGCTGGTCCCAAATGCAGGATTTTGGCCCCATTCTGTCCTCATGCTATACGGTCAGAATCTTCTTGCTCACTCAATCCCTGGCTGAGTCACACACAGGGAAATGTGAGGAGGACCCCAGAGAATGGTAAATGAGGTGTGAATGCCCTTGAGTCTGATTCATTCCTAAGACAGTGGGGATAATGAAAAGCAATAATTAAAAGCCCATTTTAGCAGAATAGCAGAGGTATGTCTCTCTCTCTCTCTCTCTCTCTCTCTCTCTCTCTCTCTCTCTCACATACACACACACAGACACACACACACACACACACACACACACACACACAGACTAAAGGTCACTAGTCATCTACTTATCGAACTGTGAAAAGAATGTGGGTAATGTGGCCTTAAGCATCGCAGAAGAAAGTAGAGGGACAGCTTCTGGACTGGACTGACAGATCTGAAAAAGGTTAAAATTTTTTCACTGTAATTTCTGCTTCCAGGCTTTTTCTATGCAAAGTAATTCCAGAGAAAATTATCTTTTCTCAGCATATGCTTACACAGTAGGAAAATGTAGTTATGTGGTTACTATTTAATGTGGCAGATATGCAACAGTCTAGAGAACTAAGAAAAATCAGAGGTATTGTTTGTTATGATGGATGAAAGAGTAAGTCAGGTGAGCTGGGTGTGGTGGCGCACGCCTGTAATCCCAGCACTCGGGAGGCTAAGGCAAGAGGATTGTTGCGAGTTCGAGACCAGCCTCAACTACAAAGTGAGCTCAGGGCCTCTGAACTCCATAGCAAGACCCTGTCTCAAAAAAAGAAAAAAAAAAGAGTAAGTCAGGAAAGGATAAAATTAATGGAGATTTTCTGCAGGGAGAGAATGTAATTTTCCTATCAAAATGCCACATACCTGCACATTACTTCCCTCACTTCCTCGTGAGTGCCACAGAACCATGATGGAAGTGACAGTGCGCAGGACATCACTGTAATTCTCGACACTAAAATTAAGCATGTCACCATTTATTTTTCTTCTCTGAGGTGCTCTCCCTGTCATCATCTCACTGACTGTTTTCTTCTCTTTTACTATGATCCCAATTTTGAAAAAGTAACTTTAAAAGGTACTTTCAAGACTGAGAAGGATACCCCAAGGCAGATGTTTACATCTGGGAAGGGGGTGATGGGCTGCACTGATGTGTTATTTGCAGTCTTCATACATTTTTAAATTCTTTGTAGGATGCATACATTTGTGCTATTTCGAAAAAGGGTGAGGGCTCCAAGAATCAATGTTTGCACTACTTAAGAGAATGAAGTTTTTGCACAGCTACACATCAGTAACACTCTTAAAGGCAATAAATTTCAGGTCGAACTTTACGTCATTATACCATCATTTGTGCCAATCAGAAAAAGCACACTGCACAACGTAGTGTATGATGCTAAAGAATATGCAGTGAAGAAAAGGGATGGATAAAGGCTTTACTAAATTTCTTGCACACCAGAAAAGAGGACCATTCATTTATCTAGCTGCTCATTCATTCAGCTTCATGGTCACCTTCTACCAGTCACCGTTACTGTTCTATATTTTAGAAACTAAGTCCTCCTCCTACCATCAGGTTGGCAGATGACATGTAAACAGACATAACGTAGTAATACTTTAATGGAGCTAGAAGTAAACTGTGGTAAGATTCTAGAAAAAGTTGAAGTTTAGAGGAGATAGAGGGCACTCCAGGCAAAAAGGAGTAATATCATATCATCAACAGCACATGGAAGCCAAAGCAAGTGAAATGCAATTTGGGAAGAGGCACTCAAGAGTCAGGAAGGTGCTAACCCTACAGCACTGCTATAGTTTATCAGATACGTTGTGTCAACTTGAGTCTAGAGACGCGGCCAAGTAACTCAGCAGCCAAGTAACTCAGCAGTTCTACATCCTGGAGTGAAAAGGACAGCCCCTTCCTGCTCTAGGACGTTGTTCACTGTGTTAATCTGAGAAGTTTAGAAGGTTAACTGTGTGACTCAGCAGGGGGCCAGAGTCCTTACTTTGTATTCATCCTGAGCCTGTGCAGGAGGAGGGCAGGGAGATGATGTGAGTGCGACACCTGCCCCCTGGGTGGGGGTAACCTGTTTACAATATAAGGGAAGAAAAGAGGCTCGGCTCCCCTCCCCACACATTTTGTTCTTCCTGTTTTCTGCTATGAACTGTTGCCCCTGCCCTGGGCCACTCTGCCTGGGAGCCCGCTGAGTATGGTCTGAAACCTCCAAAAACTGTGAGCTACATACACACTTCCGTCTTTTTGTTTGTTTGTTTGTTTGTTTTTTGGTTTTTCTACGGTACCGGAAACCGAACTCACGACCTTGCGCTTGCCAGGCAGGCGCTTTGCCGCTGAGCTAAATCCCCAGCCCCAAACCCTTCCCTCTTTAATTTAGGTGCTGGGTATTTTGTTTCAACAACTAGAGAAAAGTAACCAAGACAGGCACTCTTAGAGAGGCAGATTTACACACTCTCACAACCTTGGGAAAGGCCCAGGGCTCATCTCAGACCCAGCACCAAAAACACAAACAACAAAAGATGGACTTTACCAAGGTTAAAGCCTTTTGTACTCTCAAGGATACCATCAATAAACTAAGGGTGGGATCCAGAATGTGCTGAAGGCAACAAGGAGCCTCTCTTCAGTTATCTTGGGTTATTCCTCACAGCAACAGAAGCCGACTAACACACAGCTCACAGAATAGAAGAAAGCATTTGCAGATCTCACATCTGATACGGGACTTGTACCTAGAATGAATGAAGAAATCTTGCAACTCCACGATAAAAACACAAATAACCCAATTAAAAATAGGGGAAGTCTCTGAACAGACAGTTCTCCAAAGAAGAGACACAATGGCCAAAAAGCACATGAAAAAAGAGGCTCCATATCATTAGCCACCAGGAGATGCACACAACCCAATGAGATCCCACCTCTCCTCCACCACGATGACTAAAAAAACAAAACCAGAGTTGATGAGGTTGTAGAGAAACCTGGAATCATCATACTGCTGGGGAGACATAAAGTGGTGCGGTCACTTTGGGAAACGGTCTAGCAGTTCCTGAAAAGGTTAAAACAAGGATGCCATGTGTGCCAGCAAATCCACCACTAGATGTAGACCCAAGGTAACTGCAAACAAAGTCCACATAAAAACTTGTACACAAGTTTCACAGTATGATTCATTATAGCCCCAAAATAGAAACAACCAAGTATCTATCAGCCAATGAATAAACATACATAAAATCCATGTATGGAATCCATATACGGAATACTATTTAGCAATAAAAGTACTGATAAGTGTACAACCTGGACGAATCTTTACAAACGTTATGATAAATGAAAGACACCAGTCACAAAGGACCACTAAGACTAAATATTCCACGATCCCATTCATAACAAGTACCCAGAACAAAGTCAATCCATACACAGAAAGCAAACTGTGCTTGCCCAGGGCAGGGAGGTTGGTGAAAATGAGGAATGATTGCTAAGGGTACTAGATTTATTTTGGGGGTGATGAAATTTCTGGAATTTGCAGTGATGGTTGCATAATGAAATATAGTAAAAACCACTCAATTTTACACTTTTTTTTTTTTTTTTTTTTTTTGGTCTTTTTGAGACAGGGCCTCCCTATGCAATTCAGGCTGACCTTGAGCTCACTTTGTAGCCCAGGCTGGCCTCGAACTCGCAAGGATCCTCCTGTCTCAGCCTCCCGAGTGTTGGGATTACAGGCATGCACCACCACACCCAGCTCTTCAATTTTACACTTTAAATGGCTAAAGTATACATCATGTGAGTGACATCTCAGTAGAGCTGGGTATAGTGGTGGCCTGTAATCCCAGGACCCAAGAGGCTGAGGCAGGAGGATCACTGTGAGTTTGAAGCCAGCCTAGGCTACCACAGTGAGTTCAAGGCCAGCCTGCACTACATGAAGCGAGACACTGACTCAAACAAAACAAAACAACAAAAACTATTGCAAAAAAGGAAGAATAAGCAAGCAACACACAACATTTAAACCATTAATCCATAAAATAAAAAATTTCTCTACAAAGAGCTTTTTAGCATTTTTTTGGGTGATATAACACACTTTCTGAAAAGTCTCACTATTTTGCTAAGTGATCTGCTTTTGGTTTACTTGCTGGATTTGTTTAGTATTTAGCCATTTGGAAATCCAACCATCGATCACGAGCCATCCATCATGAGAACAGCCACATGCTAACAACGATCTCCCTTGCCAAATCCATTTTTCCCTCAATGAAAAACCATTTCTCCATGTGGACAGGGACACAGGCGTGGTGCTGCAGAAGATGAGATACCAGAGGCCCTGGTTTTACATCAGGGTGCCAGCAAGTGCCGAAGGCATCATGGTGGGGACGCCACTTTAATTTTCTTAGGTGTAGCGTATTTCCCAGTAAAGTGGAGATGACCATCCATGTCTTGCTTACCTCACAGCACGGATGAGATGAGGGTGGACAGGGGTACTGAGAATGTGCTCTATAATCGATTTCCTATAGGTCTGTACAGTATGTAAATTTGGCAGGAGAATGCTAAGTTTTAACTGTGTGTGTGTGTGTGTGTGTGTGTGTGTGTGTTACTGAGGACTGAACCTGGGGTGCTCTGTCTAGCCCTTTGTATTTAATTTTAAATTTTGGGAAGAGTCTCACTAAGTTGCCCAGGCTAGTCTTAATCCTTTTTTTTTTTTTAAGTTTTAGATGTGGGATTTCACTTTTTAATTTTTGTTTTTTTGAGACAGGGTCTTACTATGTAGTTCAGGCTGGACTTGAGCTCACTATGTAGCCAAGGCTGGCCCTGAACTCAGGGCAATCCTCCTGCATCAGCCTCCAGGGTGCTGGGATTACAGGCATGTGCCACCACGCCCTGCTTAGTTTTTAGATTTTAAATTGACTGTCTTGTCCTATAACTTTTTATTCAAGGTAATTTTTTTCTGCCTTGCAAATTAACATAAAATCTCAATACCTCACTCCTTTGCTTTTCAGCGAATTCTAGAATCTGAACCCCCTCCAGAAGATGAAATAGTCCTTTTCTTTAAGCCAGTGTTTTACAAACTGTTCCTTGGATGAAAGTGGGTATGTTATATAATTTTTCACAGTTTTCATGAACAAGTCAATTTGGAAAATACTAGATTAAATAAAGTCAAGACTCTGGGCCCGCCTTTATGATGCTGCTGTGCGGTGAATCTCGGGCATGCACATAACACCCCGTGTTTTCTCATCCCACGGCCCCCCTTTTTTAGTGTTCCTGAGAACAGCTGGAGAATGGTTACTGCAGTTAACAGGGACCTGCTATTCTGGCACCATAAGAGTCTTAGAACCAAGATCAAAATTCCAAATACTCAAGGAGGCTTTCAGTGGGGGCTACTGCTCCTTGGTAGCACATCAGGTTTATAAAGATTTGCAGTGTGACACCAGATCATAGCCTGCATGTGAAGTACTGCAGCCACCAACCTATAGCACGCAGTCGCAGTGGCACAGACTCCACACCTTCAGCTGGGGGCAGTAACCACGGTGCGGAGCTACCAGATCTAATGTACCTGGGAGGGACGACGGAGCAGCACCTTTCCACTTGGTGTTCAGAAAACACCACATCAGCCAAACAAAAGATGCACGCAGCCTGAACTTAACTGTAGGCCATAAATTGAGAAATCTGACCGTCAATCACAGATCTGCAGTTTATGAAGTAGTTCAACATATTTCTAGCACAGCAGCAAAAAGGACCAGTCACTGACCTGGCTCCTCACTCGTTCCCCTTCATGGTTACCTTCTACCAGTCATTTACTTTTCCATATTGTTAAGCCTCTGTCCTGCTATTAGACTGGCAGACACAGACATAGACATAACATAGTAATATTCTGAGGGAGTTATGAACTATTGTAAGACCATCTAAAAAAGATAAAGGACCATCTAAAAAAGAAGTAGGGGATTAGAGGAGATAGAGGGTATCCCAGGCAAATGGGGGTAATATTGTCAAAAGCACAGAAAAACCAAAGAAAGTGAAATGCAGCTTGGGAAGAGTCACTCAAGGCCGGGAACTGTGCTAGAAATTGTGCAGTAGTTGAAATAAATAAAATGCACTAATACCAAGGAGGCCAATCTAGTGATGAAGAAACAAGAAACTTAAAAATGGTCGCAGGGTAAATGTAACACAAGGCACCATGGGAGCACAGAGCCGCCTTTGTGAAAGGCCCTGAAGGCCATGCTGAGGATGCTGGACTTTAGCTGGAATGACAAGGACCCCTGCAGACCCTCAGAAAGAAAAGTGACAGGATCAGATATGCACCTTAGAAAGTCACTGACAGCAGAGTGGATAGCAAGGGAGAGACTGGATAGCAAGGGAGACTGGAGGCAGCACAGATATTTTGGCCAGGAATCCAGTTTTCTTTAATATGAACTGCAGACTAGGGTCAAATCGCAATAAAAAGAGACAAACCCAAGTATTTCTAGATAGAGAAAAGCCAGGAAATAAATAGGTCTAGACACTGAGTCTGCCTTCAATGAATGACAAGGCTCCATTATGTGCAGTCCACTTCTTCCGGCCTGGGGTCTCCCCTCTGCATTCTGCAGAGACAGGGGTGGGGCGGGGTAGGGCAGGGGGCAGGGGGCAGGGCAGGGCAGGGCAGGGCAGGGCAGGGCAGGGCAGGAGGGAAAGGAAAGCTGAGATGTTTTCAGATGGCTGAGCACTGCAGACTGTTCTTTCACCACTGACAAAGGAAATAGGAAAGACCCTGCTAAGATAACCTGAGAATGTGCGGGTCAGCCGGGTCAGTGAGCTTTCAAAGTCAAATCAACAAAGCCTTGCAATGAGGCATCAAGGTCATTCTCCCTTCTAAGGACAAACAATCTGATGGGCATGTTTCCATCTGATCTGGAAAAAACCTCTCTAGCTATTAGGTTAAGAAATGATCCCACTTCTCCAACCTAGGACACAAAGCTACTATGGAACATACTAAAAACCTTTTAACTTCAGGATATGTATGAAAGGTTCATGATTTGCCAAAAGAGAAAATCATGTTATCTAAGGAGAGGTGCAATTTATTTAAAGAAGCCTTGCTTTTTCTTCCCCTTCATTGTTTTGGCGATGTAAAGTCTGCAAAAATAAAACACTATTTGCCGTCTAGTACCGTACAATTGTAAGAGCCTTAGGGAACTTTTAGGTCATAACACTCTACTAGTGAAGGTATTATATTTCCAGTGAAATTTTTTTCTATCAAAAAAAAGAAGGAAGCCAAGCCGGAGATGATGGCACACACCTGTAATCCCAGTAACTCAGGAGGCTAAGGCAGGAGGATCTCTGTGACTTCAAGGCCAACCTGGGCTGTGCAGCAAGTTTAAGGCCAGCCTGAACTACACAGTGAGACCTTGTCTCAAAAATCAAAAACGAACAAACAAAAAAAAACGCCAAACCGAATAGCAAATAATTCTGGCCATAAGAGCCAATACATCTGGCCATACAACGAAAGAACTATACTATATCATCAGCAAAAATGAGGACAGGTATCACTTGAAGAGGACAGATATCACTTGAAGAATAAAACCATGTAATTTTGCTTACCTGTCTTATAAGCAGATGTTCTGATCACTGACAAAGCCAAGTTGAGGATCATGTATTTCAAACACCTGCCCAAAATTAATTTAACTAAGTGCAGATATCACTGCAAATATCACAACACTATGTCCTGAAGACAAACATTAGCCAATTTCTCCTCAAATACTTTTATAAGGTTTTGGCTTGTAACCCTAACACTATGTGCTAAATGTGAATTGAACAATTTAGAAAATATTTTTATTCATGTGATTATTTGTTAGTACCAAAGATATCTTTGGTTATTATGGTGCTAGGGCTTGAACCCACGGCCTTGCTCACGCTAGGCAAGTACTCTACCGCAGGTTACAGCCCAAGCCCATTTTCTTCTTTAAAGGAGCACTTAAATACTAGATGATGGTTAACCATTTTAGCAAAGCATTAACAAGTTCATGGCCAAGAATCAAGTCTGGCTCCTCAAACTGCTACAGACTGGTAAGTTGGGGATGAGCCAGCTTGAGAGAACCGGAGATTGCATGCTCCACCTACACATTAAAAAACTGACTTGGAAACAAACACATAGTGTAAGCCTCCCAACAACCATCTGTGGGCTTATCACAGGCCAAGAGTTCGTAACTCCTGAATGAAAGCTTAAAACCTGATTATGAAGCTCGCTTCCAAATAGGGCTACTTCCTGTCACACAGAGTTATGCAACAGATTATAGATTCTCATGAGAGCAAAGTTGTTCACATATAGACAAGATCACTCATCTGGAGACTTCTTGTTACATAGCTACCCGAGCTGGGTAGGAGTGAATTACAACGTATAAATTACAGGACAAATTACAGGACAATTTTTTAAAAAAAGGTTTTTTGTGCTTCAAATGGTAGAAAATTGTTTTAGCTACATAAAAATGGAATGTCACTACTGGCATTTTACCTGCTTCAGAAATCGGTCAGACGCATTGCTGTGCTTGGCTAACACACTCGGCAGGGCCGGGTTGGCATATTCAAATTGGGGGTTGTAGGTATAGTCCGATTTGAAGAATCTCAGTTTTTCTTTCTCTAAGTTGGTAGGCTTTATAGCAGTCAATATGCAAAATCTCTTCCCAGAAAAGTCATCCGCCTTTTCAAAGCTTCTAGACAGCTGAGGCTGCTGCTTGGGCTTTGGCAGAGCGGAGAAATGGCGCCACTTGATCTTGCTTTTGGGTTTGGGTGGCAGGACTATGCCGTTCCCTGTAACAGAGATATCACCGGTAAACTTTACAGGACTTGACACTGAGCTCGTGACAAAAACAGCGGGCCGCCTCTCCAGGCAATACCAAGTACCAGTGCTTGCCACAGGCACTGGGGCTTTCGTCCTGCGAGCGTCTCTGCTACGAGAAGAGCTAGGGCATTTGCTGGGCTTTCTACATCGTTTGGAGTGGGTGGAGCAAGGCTGTTTTTGTGCATGGTGCTTTCTTTCCTCCTTGCTCTGCAGCAGGACATTGTAACTACTGGTTCCCGTTGTGAAAATGTCCTTTAGTACTCCAGAGGGCAAATGCGAAAGGCTTCTCTTGCTGTCAAGGATCAGTGAGTCTTCTGCATTTAGAACAGACTTCTTAGCAAGTTCTTGCTCAGGCCAGTGAAGCTTTTCTGCGTTAAATAAACAAAATCAAAACAAAAGAAATAACAAAGATACCAGGTGAAGCAAACTGCTTTTATACGAAAAATATTCTGAAGCCTTGTAAACTTTATAAATTGGCAATAATCTTTAGAAAAGATATTTAAATAGGAATGGGTGTATTGCTTGGCTAACGCTAGGCATTGTCACCTCTTCCCCACTGTGTGTATGTTAAATTCTCTGTAAAGATCCTGAGCTTCCAACCATGTACATGATCAAAGTCTAATACAGATGTGAGGTATGACACTAAATAATCTGAAAACACTGCTAAAGAATGTTAATTTCAGAAAAAATACATTCTTAGTAGTGTTATAATAGGCAAGTAAAATCCAAGGTACTTTAATAGTATGATTTTGAAATTTGAGACTATGAAGAAAGGCAGCCTGCTTACCTCAAAAGTCACTTTCAAGATTAAACAGTTGACATGTGTGTGTTCAAGCGTGTTCTAATGTCCTTCAGTATCAATAACTGGCTGATTCTATTAGCTCTAAACTATAATTTAAAGTTTTTTCTTGGCAAGACTGAAAAGCAAATTATAATTACTATTACCATGGCATATATATATTAAGTAGCAAGTTAAGGTGAGGGCAGCATAGTCTGTAGGGCTCAAAAGCACTTTAAACAAGTAAGGCGCACCCATGCACTGATGTTCACACACTGCTTTTTGTGATTTGTATTCTTTTATTCACAAATATATAGAATGTACTAATTTGTACACAGCTCTAATAAACATCTATATAAATACACCATTCCTGCCTACAACCAGCTTCTAATCTGACTCCAAAACCAAGGCAAGGACATGATGTTTTCATGAATAATACCACTTAGCATATGATTCAAGGTGAAAAAAACAAGACACCAACAGTCATCTATAGGGAGCCACTGAAGAGCACCTGCTGAGGGGCTTTCTGGTGAGGCTCAAAGGGCTTTCAGACTCACTTCTAATTGAAATCCAGTTTAAATCTAGCTGTGTGAACTAGACTCTAGCTCAACAGTCTTGTCAATAAATGTTGACTGAATACAGTAATTGATCAGTGACCTAAACACACCAATCTCCAACCATTCTGGGTAAAACCGGGTCTACAGTTCTGGAGCCATTCTGTATTCCTATGAGAATAGCTCTGCAGAAGTGGAAACACAACAAAAACCCTGAGCCCCTGGTTCTGAGCTGAGGGTGATTCAGCCCTTGGAGACATTTGGCAACATCGAGATGTTCAGGTTGTCACATTAGGAGAGGGTTACTGGCAACCGTGGGCAGAGGGCAGGGATGACACAAAAGATCCTTCACAGGAGTCTTGCGCATAAAGACTCACCCCAACAAGTCAATAGTTTTTAAATCCCAGAAGTCACAGAGTTTAGGATGAAGAAAGAAGACTAGGTCACAAGTAGCCAAAAGAACTCCAACAATCCAGTACTTTAAAGAATTTGTTCATTAGGGGCTGGGGATTTAGCTCAGAGGCAAAGCGCCTGCCTGGCAAGCGCAAAGTTGTGAGTTCGGTTCCCGGTACCGGAGAAAAACCAAAAAAAAAAAAAAAGAATTTGTTCACTTACATTTTCTAGGACAGTATATGAAGTTTGAATTCGGTGTCTATAGGTTTGTATGTACAAGTTTAGAGGCAGGAGTTAGCCTGCAGTGTCATGCTAAAGGTGGGTGGTACCCAGAAGCCATTCAAAGTATGTTAAAGATTCAATCAGCCAAAAATGACAGGACAGATACAATTTTCACCACAGGCTGGTAGGTCCCGGTTTCGCAGGAGTTTCAGGTGTCAGCGTTGCCAACTGACAGCAAAGACTGGCAAGGCAAGCAAGCTCAGGGACACCACGACACAGGCTGCAGCCCCAATGCCCAACAACAACGCCAGTTTTCCTGAAAGGACACATTTAGGAAAGGAGATGATAATGAGGGCAACGCTGAAATGGACACTAATTGGGAAAGAGCAAGGGGACGAGATAAGAACACTGCAGTATCTTAAGCCTAGAGAAGTAGGGTAAGGACCAGAGCGCCCAGAAAGGTAAAGGGAGGTAACCAGGTTCTTTCTCATTTTGAGCTTCTTTTAAGAAAATGGAGAAGTTGCACCAAATTAAAACCAATAAATAAAATCACTCTGAAGAATTCTGACTTTGCTGGCTTATGACACATCTGTTGTAATTTAAAAAAAAAAAGTCAATACAAAAATGGTTTCTTTGATTCTCAACACTTAACTTTATGACCATAGAGCTGATCTCACTGTGTTCTTTTGTTTTGTTATAAAGCGTCAGTGACTTCCAAAATCATAATTTTGACCCAGGACAAACAATCTATATACTTCAGGATATTATTTTTAAAAAGGCCAAGCCCCCTACTGTAGCCCCCCCAGGAGAGAGGGAGGCAGCGGGCATGTGACAGAAGCGTTCTCCCCGTGGCTGTCCGGCCGACCATCTACCGAGAGGCTCAGCAGCCTCCTCGAGGCCATCTGCTGCTGCGCAGTTTCCAGCACCAAGCCTGCCAAATGCCCGCTCTTCTGTGAAGCTCAGGAAGGTGGGGCATGTGGTCCTTCGTGAGCTCAGACGAGATGGACAGAAACTAACTTCTCAGTTTTAATCATACTTCGGTTGTATAAAGTATTGTTTTCATACTTTTAAGTACTACTGTTTATTTTTTTTAAATGACCTTTCATACATAAGAACATAATACAAGGCTAATGAGATTTCCAGTTGTCTACATAATTTATTAAAGAACACCCCGTTCCCTAACTCCTCCTCCTTGAAAATTTTTTTTCTTTGGAGGAAGTATCTCTCCTGAAGTTGTAAGGCAATTAAAAATCATAATCTCTCACATGAAAGGTTAACACCATGTAATTTAACACTTTAGCCATCAGCAAACCATTCATTAAAATCAATTTGCTCACCCCAACCTGGTTACCGATGCTGAGGAAAAAAAGGGGAGCTCGTTTTACTAAATAAAAATTAGTACTCAGTCTCCTCACAAGCGGGTGAGTACAATGGAAGCTTCACAGGCTTCTAGAACAGGCGGAAAGGAGAGCAGGAGCCTGGCGTCCCCGGCAGCCCAGTCAGTGACCTCTGTGTAACATCAGCCTAATCCTTCGTGCCTCTGCCATTCACTCCGCAGCGCAAACAATGGGGAGAAGGGAACACTGCGCACTCAGCCTAGGCTCTCACACCTGGGGATGGGTGAGGCTTCACGTGACTGCCAGGTCCCTGGCTGAATGGCAGGTCACCAGAAACAAAGCCTTGTGGAAAAATACTGCTCAATGCATCACGACCTATGAAATGACCAAGGTTCGGTAATGTCTTTTGGCCCTGGGGAATAGGTTCTGTACCATCAGGTATAGTACCCACACTCCTATAACCCGAGAACTCAGGAAGCTGAGGCAGGCAGGCGCTGTGAGTTCTAGTTTAAGGCCAGGGTGAGCTACAGAGTGAGCTCAAGGCCCATCTAAACTACACAGAAAGACCCTGTCTCAAAAAAACCCAATAAACAAATAGGCTCTACCACTGAGCTACCTGCCCAGCCTACAATAACATAAGGTTCACTAATACTTATGAAACCTGAGAATCTGGGGTAAATTTACACCACCAAACAATCAGTTGCTTGGTAGAGCCGGGCGTGGTGGCGTAGGCCTGTTATCCCAGCACTCAGGAGGCTGAGGCAGGAGGACTGTCGTGAGTTCGAGACCAGCCTGGGCTACAAAGTGAGCTCAAGGCCAGCCTGAACTGCATAGTGAGGCCCTGTTTCAAAAAGATCCCCCCCCCCCCGCAAAAAAATCAGTTGCTTGTTTATACACAGAAGAAAAAACAATCCAAAACAAAATAATACCTGGAGGAGATAACACTTTATCAAGTATTATCCTGATAATACTTGAGCACTTAAAATGTCAGTCAAGAGTAGAAAGGGTGGCTGGGGATTTAGCTCAGTGGCACAGCACCTGCCTGGCAAGTGCAAGGTGGTGAGTTTGATTCCCAGTACCGGAAACCACCCGCCAAAAAAAAAAAAATAGTAAGAGCAGAAAGGGTGAATAAGTTGTGGTATAGTAACACAATAGAATACTACACTGCAATGAAAAATACTGAGATTGCTCCCACAACGTTCAGGAAAGCACGCTGATCAAAGGATTATATATTCCATTCACATATTCCTATTGAGGTGGAGTTCAGGAATAACAAAACTCATTTATGGTAGCAGAAGTGAAAAAAGCAGTCACCGATGAGGAGTCATAAACTGGTAGTACCACGGTGCATACTGAGCGCTAAAAGCTGTGTTTTGTTCTGGGCAATGGTTATTCATAAAGCTGAAACTTGAACACTTCCCTATATATAAATGACTCTTTAATTTCTTTTTCCCCGTGTTGTGGATCAAACCTAGGGCTTTGCACATGCCAAGCCAGAGCTCTACTACTGAGCTACATCTTCAGCACTACAATTCAAATATTGCACGTTTAAAAACCCAGTATTTTTAAGAACAGCTCTTGTACAATTTGTCTCCGTTGTCAGGTAATCTATTAGCGCTCACACCTCTAATTCAACAGCACCTGGTGCAGTTCCTCAACAGCGACGGAAAAGAGAGGGGCACGGCTAATGCCATTCAGGAGCCTGTGACTTGAGTGTACTTGATCTTAGAAGTCTCCCAGGCCAGCTGCGAACACTTCAGTGCTACCCTATGCGCAACAGTCTTAGAAGGTGCGAGCTGCTCTGGGCTCAGAAGCGGCTGCGTGTGGTCTCTGGTTAGAAACACACAGGGTGTTCTGGAAATGCTTCACGGTGACGGATGTGATCAGACCCAGCACTGTGCCCCATCTCAAGTCCCAGAGAATCGGGGAGAAACTAACTTTCCCAAGGCTTTCCACTGGGGGGAAGACGGAACCCCCGACCATGGCCTGGGAGGTCACTCACGGCCGACTCCTCATCGCTCACAACGCTGCCCCTGAACCGCTCCCCTCCAGCTCGGCCCCCTCCATCCCACACACTCCGCCTTCTCCCCAAATGCAGCCTCTCCGCCCAGGCCGCTCTAACAGCACTTGGTCAGGAAGTGTCTGCTGTCTTCTGCTCAGACCTCCTGACACGGCCCTCTCTCCCGAGAAGGGACTGTCACGCTGCACTCTCATGTGTTCTGGGCGGGCCTCCCCGCGGCAGAGTCACAAACTGTTTCTCAGCAGCGTCAGCTGTCTACTTTGGCCTGCTCTGCCCTGCTTGCAAGAAGCTGGCCAGAGAGGCATCTGAGGGGTCAGAGGACTTGAGAGAGGGGATCCAGAATTTGGTTTCCCAGAGACTGAGGGAAAAAAATCATCCCAGGAGGGTATGAGAAAATGAAACAATTAGTAAGGCTGAAGGGAAGGGTTTTTTGTTTTGTTTTGTCCCCTGCACACAGTGGGAACTGAACCTAGGGGCCTAAGCTCCATCCCCAGTCCTTGTTTAAAAATTATTTTAAAGGTAAAAAACTTTTCTTGCTGGGCGTGGGGGCGCAGGCCTGTAATGCCAGCACTCTGGAGGCTGAGGCAGGAGGATCTTTGGGAGTTCAAGATCAGCCTGGGCTACAAAGTGAGCTCAAAGCCAGCCTGAACTGCATAGTGAGACCCTGTCTCAAAAAGACAAAAAAAACAAAACAAAACAAAACAAAACAACAAAAACCCTTTTCTTCTTGGTGTATGGCTGTGATACATATAGTTATATTAACCTTGGGGAGCTGGTACATATACACATACGTATCTTATCACCATCCTTTTTACTTACCCTTTCCCCAACTCTACCCTCTCCCCACTTCCCCAGACCCACTTCCCATCTCCACAAAGCCTACCCCTCCTGTTCCTACCATCTCTTTTTATTTAGCTCTTTAAATTATTTACATTTTGGGTTTCTCAGATAAGAGAAACCACTCAATATTTAACTTTCTGTGTCTGCTTTATTTCACTTAGCAGTATGTTCTCAAGGGGCATCTATTTTCTCACAAATGACTCAAATTTATTCTTTTTTATGGCAAGGTTGGATTTCGTTGTGTACAAATACATTTTCTTTATCCATTCATCTGCTGATGAACGTATGGGCCGCTTCTATATTTTAGCTGTGCTGCTATAAACATGAGTATGCATGTATCACTATAAAATGATGTCTGTAAGTCTTCTGGGAAGATACCTAGAAGGTGTACAGCTGGGTTGATTGGAATTTCTAGTTTTAGTTTCTTGAGGAATCTCCATGCAGATTTTCTTTTTTTTTGAGACAGGATCTTACTAAATCATTAAACTTCCCGGGCTAGGCTTGAACGTACCTCCTGGGGTTATGTGAAGATTTTGGAAGTAATGCTGAAAACAATGCTGACCCCAAATAAGCAGTCTTTGTAACTGTCATTATTACTATCACTATTATTATTACTATCATTATTACTATCCATTGACTTATATTTAGCTCCTATAGATACATCTAAGGAACAATGTAAATGAGTAAGTAGAATCATTAAATTTGTATTTCCAAGGTGTTTTTAATGTTAATGAAGTCATCAATTCTACAGTGCACCATCAACATTTTAGTGGCTTTGATATAATGAACTTTCTTAAAAGACTCTAAGAGGGCAAGGAAACCTTTTCTGATTTGATTCCACTGAAGCATATATAGCACATACATCTTTATTTCATTACTCCTCTAGCCTGTTGTGGTAGCACATGCCTGTCATCCCACCACTTGGGAGGGGAAGACAGGAGGACTGCCACGAGTTCGAGGCCAGCCTGGGCTACATAATGAGATCCTTTCTCAAAAAAACTTAAAAAAAATCAGTACGCCTCTAATCAGCAGTCCCACCAGGAGGTTTTAGATCACATTAGATCATGACTAAGTGAAAATAGGTAAAATTATACAGGAAGTGATTTCAAAAGCACTTAAGTCATTGCTTCAGTCCTGAAATAAAAAAACTAGTTTGTTCGCTTTTAATAGCTATTTAAAAGCTGAGAAAAGGCACACTTTCAAGCAGCACTCTTAACCACCATCCATCCAGTATGTCTGCTAACCAGAACTGAGTGTCCAAAATACCAGTGAATAGCAAGAGAAGAGGACGGTTTGTTTTCAGCTAAAACAGTACCGTAAGGTGTCAGGTTGACCAAACTGAGTTTCCTGGTATTTCAGTGAAATGCTGGGGACAAGGCTCTAGTATTATTTTAACTACGTAAATACTATATAAAGGAAACAGGCAGACTATTTAAACATAACCTACTCAGGTTTCTTTCTGTTTATTTTTCCAGTGCTGGGCATTGAACCCAGGGCCTTGAACATGCTAGGCCAACAGCTGCCTACCACTGAGTCACATTCCCACATCTTTTTAACTTTTTTTTTTAAATTTTTGAGACAGGGTCTTGCTAAACTGCCCAGACTCTCCTTAAACTTGTGACCTTCCTGCCATAAGCCTTCCAGACAGTTGGAATTACAAGTGTGCCTGTAAAGGGACTATAAATTTGAGGCTAGAACCGTCTCAAATGGCAATTTAATACCCAGTGAGACGCGATCTCAAAAAAAATGGCAATTTAAATTTTATTATACTATAGAAATTCACTGCCAAATTATCTAACTCAGGGCATACAACGCTGAGTATGATTGATAAGTATACTGCCATTAAATTATGAGAAAGGGATTGAGTCAATAGGAGGGGGTATATACTATTTCATAAAGTATTATATCTCTCTTCAAACTTCCAATTATATGTACTGAAATACCAGGAAATCTATTTTGTCTTACAGACTAGTTGTGAGAATACTTACACTCTAATATGAAGGTTATTTTAATTGTATTCTCTCCACAATGACTGTTATACTTTGGGCAACTGATTTTTTTTTTTTGCGCGGGGACAGTAACATGGCAATAACTTGCATTGTGATAGAACGTCACTACATTTTACTACAAGGTAGTAGCACTTAGTGGAAATACAGAGGGCAATTTTATCCCTTATGGGTCACTTAGCAATACCTGAAGAATTTTTAGTCATCAACCTGGTGAGAGGGGGGAAGTCGAATTATCCAACAAAGATCTATGACAAATTATCTTGTCCAATGTTAATAGTGCCCCATGACATAAAGAAGAAAGGCATTTTTAAACTAACTTTTGTTCTGTTTTAAGATCAAAGAGTGGCATCTACATCAAAGCCTATTTTTTAAGAAAAAATCTAATGGCAAGTCAGTTGCTTCAGATCTTAGCTCCTAGAACTGTCTCTGCTTCCTGTCAACATCGAAATGAGATAAATCACATCAACATCACAACTGCACAGAATCAGCGCTATATTTTATAACACTGAATATCAAATAACGGTGTATTTTTAAGATTATAAACATTTTCACTGAGGAAAAATTTCACTTTTCAATGTAGAAAGCATGGTTTATTAGGTACTGTGATGCCTTCAAGTTAAAAAGTCTAGCCTTATTTTACACTCCTTTGGGGATGAAGTATCTCCCTTTAACTTGTTCTTCATCATGAAACCTGTCCTGCTCAAACGTTCTAGTTAGGAATCGGATGATGGGAAAACATTTTAGTCGATTATTTTACTAGTATGTAAGAATTTTTAATGTCTACTTTTTAATGTCTATGCATAATTACATAAAAGTAATAAAAGACAAGCAGGCTTTCAGAGCTGGGGTCTAACCAGCCTTATGCTTCTTGGTATCCACTTAAAACGTCCTCCGTGTTTGAGATTAAGAGCGCACACACGCATGCACGCGGTGCAGACACTCGAGTGGAGAGGGGCGTTCTTCTGCTTAGCTCTGCTTTTGTCTGAATATTCTGGAAAATTATAACGGCCAGCCACACGCCTGTGCTTCGGAACAGGCGCTAACACCCTGCGGGACGTCCGCTCCCCAGACCCCGCTGCGGAGCTCGCGGACCCTAAGTGACAGAAGGGGGCCGGTTCTCCCGTCCCCGCGTGGCGTCCCGCGCTTTCCGGGCACGGACCGCATCCTGCCGGGACCCTGGCTACCCCCGTCACCTCCGGTCACCCGGCCACCTCCGTCACCCCAGCCACCTCGGCCTGCCCTCCCCGCACTCACCCGTCACGCGGATGGACTCCAGCATGGTCCTGCCAGGGCCAGGGGGGAGGTGGGCTCTGTCGGTTCGAGGGCCAGCGGGACAGCCCCCTGCCCAAACCTCGGTGGCGGGGGGCGGAGCTGCTCTCCCCGACAGAGGCAGACGGAGAAGTGCGGAGACTGGGCTGTGAGCGGCACTCCCTCCACCCGCAGGCGCTGGAAGATGCAACTCGCTTGCTCCACCGCAGCGGCCGAACTCAGCACCCGCCGGCGTGACGTCGCCGCTGCCCTCGTTGCTAGGGAACGTCTCCCCCCCCCCCCGTCACGCACGCAACGCATCACCGAGCCTGCGCGCCGCTGGGGGCGCTCGTGCGTCCGAAGCCCGGCTCGCGGGAAGAGACGGGAACTACAACTCCCGGCGTACACAGCGTGGACCAGCCTGGTTCTCGCGGTGTGAGGGATTCCCCCCAAAAATGTTTGCTGGCGGCTCGCGGGCTGCACGACGTACTGACCCTGTGGTACTCAGCCGTGGCTGTGCATTGCAAACCCAGTTTCCTCTGCCGTTCAGTTAACTTTCATGGTGCCGGAAAACTGCAATTTGAGATTAAGCTGTAAGGCATTCACTAGTGTAAAAGCATTCACTAGTAAACGGCACGCCAGCATACTGTTCTCTATACTGAAATATAGGTGTTAACGTGGGATTGCGCAGTTGAGAGGGGCTAAATGTTACTTCTCAGTGATTGCAGCACCTTTCTTATCCACGGGGGCTGCCTGAACCATGGTACTGTTTTTTCCTGCACATACACGGATATGTCTTAACTTACAAATTAAGCCCAGTAAGAGATTGGCAGCAAAAACTAATAATTGGAGACAGTAATTACAACAATTTACTGTTTTATAATATTGCCAACATTGCTATTCTTGCCCTTTGGGGCCTTCCGTGACTGAAATAAGGGCTACTTGAACATAATGTTGTGATATCAAGATATTTGCTCAGAAAACCAGAGCTGCGATTATGTACAGCGTGGATATGCTGTACAAAGGGGTGTTTCGTGTCTAGGGCAGGACACAGTGTTATACCTCAAGATTTCATCCTGTTACTCAGAGGCCATGCAATTCAAAATTTATCAACTGTATATTTCCCAAAATTTCTGCTTCATATTTTCAGATTGCAGTTACTACAGAAAACTCAAACCATGGAAAATAAACAATGGGTGCCTACTGCATTCATTTTCACTTTAAGGAAAGTGAAAATTGAATCTTTTACAGTGGCTGTGGAAAATGTAGAGAATATACCCAACAATAAACACGTTTTAAGGTCAATGCGAGCAAGGTTCTGAGCCTGAACTTGAGGACATCTAGGGAAATGAAATAAGCCTGCCAAAGCATACAGTCACAGAGGAGCTCACAAGACAGGGCTGGCACTGTCTCTTCTGAGAGCCACTTTTTCTCTTTGCCTTGGGTGTGTTTTCAACCTCCAGAACAAAAGAAAGTTCAGTGTCTGGAGTAGGATGCATTGATGCCGGGCATGGTGGTGCACGCCTGTAATCCCAGCACTCGGGAGGCGGAGGCAGGAGGATCCTTGGCCGTTGGAGGCCAGCCTGGGCTACAAAGTGAGTTCAAGGCCAGCTTGAACTGCATAGGGAGATCCTGTCTCAAAAAAGAAAAAAAAAAAATGGAGTAGGATACATTGAACTTGTAAGAAATTGTTTCCTTTTCTTTCTCTTTCTTTTTTTTTTTTTTCTGCTTTATTTATTTATTTATTTTTGGTACCGGGAATGGAACTTGCGATCTTGCGCTTGCCAGGCAGGTGCTTGTTGCCGCTGGCTATATCCCCGGCCCCTCTTTTTCATCACTTAGAAAATAATGGGGGAAAAAATTTTTTTTGAGACAGGGTCTCCCTATCTAGTTCAGGTTGGCCTTGAACTTGTGGTGTTCCTTCTACTTCGGCCTCCTGAGTTCAGGGATCACAAGCATGTGTCACCATGCCCAGCTGAGAGAATGGAAATTAAACTATCACAAATAGTGGGTAATCTCACATTGTCAGAAAAAAAAAGAGCTCTGAGTACTGTCTCAAAGTAGATCCATCCAGAACCCAGTTGAGTGGTACCACTTTGGCTCAAACCACTCCCTTCTCTTGGCTGGATTACAGGGAGGACATCCTAAATGACCTCCCTATTCCCATCCCTATCCTGTAAGTCTATTCTCCAAACCCAGTGGCGAGGATCTGGTTAAAAAGTCGGATCACATCAGTCCTGGCCTTAAAACCCTTAAAAGCCTCCGAGTCCTTTATGACCTAGCCTCCAGTCCTTTCTTTGATCACAACTCCAGTACTCCTCTCCACCCGCCAGGGACACATTGGCCTCCTTGACGTTTCTCAAATATGACAGGCACTGTTTCACCTCAAGGCCTTTGCAGTTTGGGATTCTTCCTGCCTGGGAGGTTCTTTTTCAGATACCCACAGTACTAGCTTTGCATTTCCTTCAGGACTTAATGCAAATGTCACTCTCTTTAAAATTCCCACCAGGCGTGGTGGGGCACGCCTGTAATTCCAGCACTTGGGAGGTTGAGGCAGGAGGATCGTTGTGAGTTCAAGAGCAGCCTGTGCTACAGAGTGAGTTCTAGACCAGCCTGAACTGCATAGTGAGACTCTGTCTCAAAAAGACCAAAAAAAAAAAAGAGAGAGAGAGATTTAGAATTCCCCTCCATTTAAAAATAGAGCGGTCTGGGCTGGGGATATAGCTCAGTGGCATAAGCGCCTGCCTAGCCAGTGCAAGGTCCTGAGTTTAATCCCTGGTACTGCAAAACAAAACAAAAACAAAAACAAAAAAAAAAAACTGGGAACAAAATAAAAATAGAGTGGCCATTCTGCTTAAAATGTCATTCTTTTTTTTTTTTTTTGGTACCAGAAATCAAACTCAGGACCTCATGTTTGCCAGGCAGACACTGTGCTACTGAGCTATATCCCTGGTCTTAAAATTTCATTCTTTTCTCAATTTCATATCCCCTTTCTGTGCTTTATGATTGTTAGCACTTATTGTATATTATACTGATTTGATTTTTAATTTTTATTTGTTTGTTTGCTGATGTGCTAGAGAATGAACCCAGGGCCTTCACATTGAGTTAAACCCCCGGCCTTATAAATTTTTAAAAATTTATTTTGAGGGGGCTGGGGATTTAGCTCAGCGGCAAAAGCGCCTGCCTGGCAAGCGCAAGGTCGTGAGTTCGGTTCCCGGTACCGGAGAAAAACCAAAAAAAAAAAAAAAATTTATTTTGAGAGAGGGTGTCACTGTAAGGAATGGCAGTAGGCAGAGACCAGCTGAGACCACTGGTCTTGTGTATAGGTGGAATATGGCATGGAATTATTGTGCCTAGGTGCAGGCAGACAGAGGGTCAAAAGGCCGTCTGTAGGGAGCAAAGAGAGTGGGCTTTTTTATAAAGCTTGAAAAAAGGCACAGGACACAAAGCAGGAAGATCTTAGTAAACATCAGTGGTCAAAGTTTTCTGGATGTTTTGTGCGTCAGTGTGCAAAGTCCTTGGGGTGTCGGGTGTGAATGTTCAGGTATCTTTCAGATGTCCAGGTACTTGCAAGGGTCTGTGTTCCATCTTATCTCCTCTAGAACATCCTGTGTTTGCCAAGGGCATCCCAGTGCTGAGCTGAGAACAATGCCTCTGCTGACAGACAGGTCTGGTACTGGGAGAGTCATGTCCAAACCAAGCCTTACGCTTACTAAATCATTCAAATTGCCCAGGTTATTTGGAACTTGTGATCCTCCTGCCTCAGCCTCCTACAGTGCTGGGATTATGGGCCTGTGACATCATACCTGGATCTTGCTGATGTATCTCGATTATTTTTGTTTTGTTTTGTCTTTCTTCTGGTATCAGGAATCAAACTCATGACCTTGCGCTTGCCAGGCAGGCGCTGTGCCTCTAAGCTAAATCCCCAGCCCATATCTTGATTATTGTCTATATTGTTCCTAGAAGAAATTTACTACAAAGATTTCTGTTTATGTGTATATTGGGTGGGGGCTGAAATCAGGACCTTGTGTGTAAGTGCAATAGTTTTGGTTCTTCACTGCTGGGTTTGCAGCATTGAGAATAGTGCCAGGCATATAGCAGGCACTCAGTAAATATTTGTGAGTTAATGAATATGTGGAAAATAGACAGTATAAATTTTCAGTGACTCCAGGAAAAAAGAATGATGCCAAATGGACCTTTAGATGAAGAACAAATCTGTTTTGGGATAGAGAACTTGCTATGGCAATGAAAAATGCATCCTTTGCATTTATATAAGCCATTATTCTTGGAACATTTAACCTAAGGCAAAAAGCTATAAATGAACAACACTGTTATTTCTTTTATATCTAAAATTCTGAAACTTGTTTTCTCAGCTTCCTATAGATGCAACTACTACCCTCAAATTTGTAGTTTAAACTGGGCATGGGGGCACATGTCTGTAATCCCACCCCTCAGGAGGCTGAGGCAGGAGAGTTGCACAAGTTTGAGGCCAGCCTGGGCTACATACTGAGACCTTGTCTAGAAGAAAAAGAGCAAAAAAAAGCATAAAGCCACTGAAGTTTAACTAGTTCTCAAAAAAGAAAGTCCCCTAAAAGTTGTTATCAAGTCATATATGGTCAGTGCCTATGTAAGGTTTACGCTGGATGCTTTTACAAAAGCATGCTTAATCACACTGGGATTGAACCCATGATCATAGACATGCTTGGTAAATCCTCTATCCTTGAGCTACATCCCAGGTCCTATTTTTATTATATTCTGAAGTAACAAAGATATGTATTACTTTCTTTATCCCACCAGTATTTATTTTTTAAGTTATTTTATAACAGTGTATCACTGTGATGTTCAGATTTTCCAACAGATTTAATGTTTCTGTTTTAATATGTAGATCTTTGATCCATTTCAATTTTAGTTTAGTGCATGGTGAAAGATATGGGTTTAATTTTAATTTTTGGCATGTGCAAACCCAGTTTTTCCAGCACCATTTGTTAGACAGGCTATCTTTTTTCCAAATGAATATCTTTGGCACTTTTGTCAAACATAAGGTGGCTAAGTATGTCTTTAGTTGTTTCTGCATTTTCTAATCTGCTCTATCGATCTATAGGTCTGTTTGTATGCCAATACCATGCTGTTTTTATCACATTAGCTTTGTAGTATAATTTCAAGTCTAGGATGTGATACCCCCTGCCTTGTGTTTGTTGCCCAGAACTGTTTTTGCTATTCTAGGTCATTCTAAATGAATATTAGGATTGTCTTCCCTAATTCTATGTGATATGCTATTGGAAT